GATAAAATTTAAACCATAAGTGCGCAACGTTATATACAGGCTACAGTTTTACATATAATATAATCTCGTCTCTATTCCACTTCCGATCTTTCGACCGTCATTAAAACAGCCTGCTCTCTCACCTCTTTCTCTCTCTCTCTCTCTCTCTCTCTCTCTCTCTCTCTCTCTCTGTCTCCTTCTTCTTCCTCACAGTGGTACTATATATGCCAGCAATTCAGGCATACGGGCTTTTAAAAAACTTGTTATGCTGGGGATCATTAGACAGATTTAAGGTCGGTAATGAATTCTCTATGAATTCTCAATTGTTTCAAAATACTTCAACAACTAGTGCGGAAGCTTTCGCGAGCTGAAGAAAAAGCGTTGATATAAGAACTACAACGATGGAAGCAATGAGCAATGTCAAGAAAAAAAAAAATACATTGATGTTCTTGAACATGAAGCCATACCACAGGAAAATAATGGGGACAGACATTAGGAGGCGATTGTTAATTACCGTCATGGAAGAATAAAGTCCCGATGAAAAAGATACGACACAAAGTAAAATGAGTGTTCGAAAATGCATTTGACCAGACTTGAAGTACTGATATTGTTAAAGGGCTCGTTAGCCAATTGTGACTAAACGCAATACAGTAAACTGTTGATGGACGCTTAAAAGCGAGTATTTCATGGTATTCTTCAGTTGAGAGGTCGAGATCTGGTATATATAAACATGCATCGCGAATGAATGGACACAGATGGAGTAATTGAGAGTTTAAAGGCGAGCGAGAGAAGAAATTTGCGCGAAAGGCGTTGCTTGAAATGAAAAGCGCTATTGTCGAGTGACACCACCAGGCCCCTTAAATCACTAGTATTCAAACACTCCCCACTGGCACGCTCTTATTAGCTTCGTTATTTAGTTATTATTGCCTGTTATGCCATTATTCGGTGATTATGACTTAAGGGTCGATGCGGGGGATGTTGACGCTTTGGAACCAGTACTTGAAACGTAATCCATTTTGCAAGTTTTATTCATGTTTTCATTTCTTCGTGAGCTTCCGGCAAACAGGTTTCCCTTGAGCCGGATTTTGAATACATAATAATTGGTGGATGTACGATTCTTCAAACTATTTGGGTACTTATGAAATTTTTATGTGGGCTAACGAAACACAACACAACGGATTTCGAACGGATGTAATTTTACGCATTGTTCACATTTCGTTGAATGTTATTGATAAATTGATATAATATAAGATTAAAGTTAATTTTGGAATCAAATTATTATAATTTTATAAATTTTGCAACGATTTTTCATAAATGTTGTCTGTGTACATTCTTATTAGGATTCAAATTTTCAGTGCTTTAAAGTAAGCTTTGATCCTCCTTATTACTCTTATTCTCATTGTTTTCTGATTTCAGTGCAACGGTGCGCGACCAAAATTGCAGTTATCTCCATTGTTATAATAAGCCAACGAAGCCGCAATTCGTCCTTGCTACAAATCGTAATTTACAATATCCTAATTATAGCGCGAGTGGCTGCAATCAACGATTTTATAGCTCCGATTGTAATTGTTGCGCAACGGTGTGCAGCGAATTATGCCTTGCGGTTCACAGGCCTCGAATTTGTAATTTACCGTATAGCTTTAACAAGTAACTACGTACAACTATACTATAAAGGGGTTCCTCTAATACTTATCAAAACAGTAATAAATATGAAATAAATATAAACTTCAGGATTAATATGTTTAGTGGACGATAATACAGTGAGAGTTCAGGATTTAGCAATAATTAAGATAATTCCAGAAATATTAAAATACATTGACGACGATGATTTTGCAATGCCTTACGACAGCAATTATAATTTTGCGGCAGCGTCATACGCTGAACCTTACGATAGTGGAGGTGAAGAAATTACAGTGCAATACGGAGCAATTATTACACTTATCTTAAAGCCTCCTGTTGTAAGTGCACATGATGAATGTGTAACGCAATACATGCCGTATAATTTCTGAAAATGATGCCGTGCGCTCGCGTTATTGTTGTTCCGTGGAAAGCGACTTTAATGCGAAACAACGTTTATGTTTAAATTTGATGCTACAATACCAATTCACCAGATGATATAATTAAATAATCGCTTCACTGTTTTCGTTTTCTTCTCCGAATTTTTCAACCCGATTTAAACTTTATGATTTCTGTACACTTGCCGCGCATTTATTTAATTCAAAGTGAGCTATATTCTTTGTTTGGTTGTAATGAAACAAAAATGCACAACGATCACAATAATAAAAAAGGAAATATCTTTTATAGTAAGAATAGTGAAGCAGAATACACGGTATATTACTTTTCACTATGTATGTTTTGTACTAAAGGTACGACGATCGGCATTAGAGGTAGTAGTAGTATACCATTGCAGGTGAAGAATAATATAAGCGACCACACGGTTCAAGCAATCGTAGGAGTGCCAACCGAAAGGGCTTGGTATGGGAGTGAACAAGTGCCGCGTCTTGCCTTTATTTCGGCGAAAAAATTAGCCACCGCGACCTTAGACTCCTCGAGGTCGACGAAAAACCATAGATGAGGCGAGGGAGTGAGTCGGCACATAATGAAATTCAGTCGTTGGAACACCTTCCGAAATCCCGAGTTGGGATCGCTCGTGACGAATGCTTGGACCGCAGACAAGACAGGGGAGAGAAAGAGAGAAGGTATGGGAGGGGAGGACGTAATGCTGGCCATGCGTGTACACATGATACACGCGCGAGGCGGGAGGGGTGAGTCGGTGGAGAGGAAAGTTACTGGACGCCTCGGGGTAAAAAAGAGCGGCTCTTGCGCGGAGTTACGGCTCGCCACGTAATTTCATGGGAACTGTAATTTGACGGAGCAAAAGAGATGGAAGGCGGAGAGACTCGTAATGGGCGAATCTGGTCCCGCGTACCGAACAGCAGAAAGTGGCCAGGGGATGGGGGGCGACCCAGGGCCGAGTACGCGCCGAGAGGCGGGAAGAATGGGCGGGATAATTACCCCTGATGCCCGCCGCTCGTTATATCTCAAGTCGCCTTTGCCTTCGTCTTCCTCCCTATATCGCCTTCAACTTATCTTCTTTATTTTATCGCTCCGCAAGTTTCTTCTTCCCTTTCTTCGCCGCTGCTTTCTTCATACTTCCCCCTGTACCTCTTCTCCGAGGGCCTTTCTTTATGTGGTCCCGATTCATTTCTCCACGTGCCACTTTCCTTACATTTCCTGCTCAACCACTTGCGTTCGCCTACTTTTTATGAGCTTCTCTTATCGCGAGGAGCTTGCGAAAAAATTAGCTATGAAATCACCCTAGTTACAAAAGTAGTTCATCAAGTGGTGTTTTATAGTTTCTTGGACTAAATTACTATATTACATTTAGATACGGTTACAAACTTTCGAGCCAATACTAATTAATATTGAACAAGTTTTTACATTTGTATTGCAGAGGACAATATTTTTTCTCTTTGTAAATGTCGTCATCGCAGCGCCGTCAATAAGTCGAGTGGATAATTTGCAATTAATAAATTGCCTGCCTAAAATGTACAAAAAAAATAAGAAACCGAGTCAATGGAATATGCTTTAAATTCTTAAATATTAATAATATCGATTAATATAATTGATAATCTTCCTGCACATCACCGAATATTATTTTCTTGACAAAAAAAAAAAAAAAAAATATCCAGTTATAAACTATAGTTTTAGCTATTTAAAATTTTTAAAAATCTTCGTTGTGTTCTTTCGCTTACTCACTTTCCTCTTCTTTCGAACTGTTTTTTATATGCGGCTTCCGAGGTCCCTTTTTTCCTTTTCCCTTTGCGTTCTTCCACTTCGCTTGACTTTTTGATGTTTTGTTTGAAGAATGTCGATCGCTTTTATTGCATCGAATTTTTTACCTTTGAATATTTTATACATCCGTAAATGCATTCGTGTGGATCTTAATTTTTTTTCCTTGGCTTTCTTTTTTCTTGTTGTCCTGGCAAGAAGTTCATAAACGAGCATTTAAGCAGGACGTAAAATAGGTTTGGGTTCTGTTATTTATGAAAACGATTTCACGAATTTTAGGAAGAAGTTTAATGGACGTTAATTTAACGACAATAGTCCTGCGCACCAATCTTAATTCTTATGGACTAGTCTATCAACTTAATTTTTTATCGAATTGTATACTGTATTTTGACAATTATGTATATTTGTTTATAGGTATGTGCTTTGAATCTTTAAGTTCTGATGAAAATATTGATGAAAATATTATTTTTACGTTTTCCTATTAAATAAAAAATTTGAAAGTAAAAAGTCATTTAATAGTTTAGAACGCATAGAAGACTAATAGTAAATTACTTTTATCTCGTTGCTAACGATAATTAGGATTCTTTCAATAAGAGATTAATTCATGTATAATAAGCATATCTAGTCAAAGTAATAAAGCCATGAGCATGCGTGTTTTACCTTCAATCACGCAGAACATTGATAAAGTACACTGGGACGTTGTTCTATGCTCTTTGAATGTTGTTCATAGATGCACAAATTTTCGTGCAAAATGGAAGCCATAACACTTGGCCGAGATGTCATGCGGATTGCTGACAGAGAGAGAAATAGAGAAAAGAGAGATAGAGAGAGAGAGAGAGAGAGAGAGAGAGAGAGAGAGAGAGATCGTGGGAGCGAGAGAGAGATAAAGAGATATAGAGAGAGAGAGAGTGAGAGGGAGCGAGGGAGCGACAGAGAGAGATAAAGAGAGAGTGAAAGGGGGAGAGAGAGGGAGAGAGAGAGAGGGAGAGAGAGAGAGTGAGAGGGAGCGAGGGAGCGACAGAGAGAGATAAAGAGAGAGTGAAAGGGGGAGAGAGAGGGAGAGAGAGAGAGAGAGAGAGAGAGAGTGAAAGAGAGAGAGAGAGAGAGACAAAGAGAGAGTAGAACGGCGCCCAGGCACCTGGGGTCTAATTAAAAAACAGAAAGGTATGAAAGAAAGTGAGCGAGTGGAGTGGGACTAATGAAAGGGCGGCACCCGATGTCTGTTGCAGCTGGCGACGCTGATGCCGCTCGTCCATTACAACTGCTCACGGCACCTCCGCTTCTTCCTCTGCTCGGTCTTCGCGCCCGTCTGCTCGGAGCACGTGGCTATGCAGATACCAGCGTGCAAGCCGCTATGTCTCTCGGTGAAGCGCGACTGCGCCCACACGCTCAAGGATCTCACGCTACCCTGGCCACACATGTTGGACTGTGATCGCTTTCCCGACAGCGGTGAGTTTTTTTCTAATTTCCAATGTTCATCTATCATCGCGGTAGCCAAGTTTCTACTTCTTTTGTTTAGTTCCTTACTAGTTTGCCATTTTAATCGAACAGTTTACTTATAGCAATAGATGGAAAATTCAACTCATAACGTACTTGGTAAATTACGAGTAATGAAAAAGCGTCATGAGCGTGTAACAATACGATTGGCATCTTTAAAACAATGTACTAAATTGCTATTGCGTAGCGCGATCATTCGATTCGTAAGTTGTGGAGGATCGCGAGTCCAATTGGAACGAAAGGAACAGCTATAGGAACAGCGATATCTTAAGTATCGATGAGTATTAACAACTAGATCCTCCGCAGGTAATACACTGTGCGTGCAGCCGCCGCCAGAGGAAAATCTCTCGTCCGAGGCCTCGTCAGCGTCCACGTCCGTATCGTCACACTCGAGCCAACAGCAGCAAGAGCAGCAACTACAGGAGCACGAGCAACTCAAGGAACGAGAACAAGAGCTGCAGCATGAACACGAACAGCAGCAATGGCCCTTAGTACAGCCTATGCAGCCCATACCGCTCCCGCCCAGGGCAAATCTACACCAAAAATGCCCAGCTCACTTCGTCGAGACACCCTACGTCGACGTTGTGAGTTCCTCACATTATCCTTTTCACGCGTTCATGATCGTGGTAATTATATGGATACGTATATATTTTCTAATTTGCCTTATCGTTTTGCTCGGTGGCTTTATGTGGTTGGAAGGTAGCTTTTGTTATCGGTCGAATTGTACATTCTGTCAATATTTATTGGCTAACATATAATTATAAAACGTCTGCTAGTTTTACAATAAATTGTCACAAGCGTAGACTCGATTTAACATTATTTAATAATAAATTTCTTTTACATTAAAAATCATTTGAAAAACAATTTTTAAGTTCAATTTTAATACTCACGCTCGTTAGTAAGAAATAAATTACAATATAATACGCATTCTTATCGAGTATAAATATTCTGTTATTTTTAAAATAATGCCGAAAATTTCATTTTTTTTCCTTATTTAATTTTGCAAAATATTCAATTCCATAAAATTTCCGATATTTATTAATAATACGCAGTAAAAGATATATACGCGAACATAATATTCTTTATAAATATTTGAGCATCTTAAATCGTTTTACGTAATCGTTAAATCGTTAAAGCGTTTTACAAATAATAAATCATTTTACGAGTATTGTGCATATCGAAAATGTATATTAGTTGTTAGGATAATGTTTCACATCTTTACTACCTAAACATATAAATAGAATAAAGCCAATTATTCGTTGGGAAATAGAAAAGAAAACTTCTCGATATAAGATTGGACTGCAATTTAACATCAAGTCTTTGATTGAATAATAATGAATCAAATATATTTCAACTAATTTTAACAAATAAATACGTGTGCTCGAGTATCGCAGCAGAGACAATGATCCCCCCCCCCGCGACACACACAAAGCTTCACTTGCTATTGGCTCAAACTGCATCGGGTTTCTCGACCACCGTTAGCTGATTCCTAAAAATTGGTTTATTGCAGACATCGTGTGTACCTCGCTGCGGTGCTGACGCCTACTATCGAACAGAAGATAAGCGCTTTGCCGAGCGCTGGATGAGTGGATGGGCATGGCTTTGCTTTCTTTCCACGCTTTTCACGCTGCTGACCTTTTGGGTAGAGCCGGCGCGCTTTCGCTACCCGGAGCGGCCAATCGTTTTCATAGCCCTTTGCTACAATCTCATGTCGCTGGGATACATCATACGGGGCGCCCTAGGCCCGGAGAATCTTAGCTGCGTCGGCCAAGACGATGGGCCGAGCTACGTGCCGGTGAGCCTTATAATAACGAGCGCGTGAATCAATTAATCAAATTGAAAGTATCGAAGGACGAGCGATTCAGGGCCGACGATTAGTTTTCAAATTAACATGACTTTTTACCAAATAATGAAAAATCATTATTGATTATGAATAGGACTATGAATATATCACTATATCACCCTGAATTTGCTATATATTAATTATGAATATAATTACATTCGATCCAACTGATTGCACTGCTTATTGACGCACAAAAAGTCTGTCATGCGTAACCCTTCAAACGTTCTAAAGCTTTCTTTCATAATTTCAAGAGAATAAAAGAGATATCTCATATAAATAATATGTTAAATATATTTTGAAATTCAAAGGATAATCAATATACAAATTAGTTTTTTTATGATGTTATTGTTTCTCAATAAAAATTGACACTTATTTCCTTAATCTAAGGGATTATTATTTCTAAAATTGAATTCTTCAATTCTGGAATTTTAATCTGATATAAGACGCACAATCTGTATAAAAATTAACTTATAAATCGGTGCTTTTATTTCGATTCAATTTTTATGAATTCCATTTCTATGAAAATAAGCCGCAAGACCAAAAAAGATCTTTCTGTACAATCGTAGATGCTCTTTAAAAAGTCAAAGCTATTAGGAAATTAATAATGTGACTTAACGTTTCAGGTGAACGATGGCTTACGAAGTGTCCCGTGCACGATTTGGTGGCTCGGTCGTTACTACCTCGGACTCGCGAGCAGTCTCTGGTGGACAATCCTCTGCGGGTGCTGGCTATTGAGCGCCCGTAACGAATGGAGTAGCGAGGCTCTGCACAACATCGCTGCTTACCTGCACGTCGCCGCCTGGGGACTGCCGACTTTACTGACTGGAGGTAAACGCCATTCTTGCAACTTGCAATTACGTGGGAGCATGTCCGGGTATCGTTCCTTTGATCAACGACTTTTCAAGATATTCAGAAACTTTCGATTCGGAAATCGACTTTAATGTATAACCACGAAAGTGAAAATCAAGTGGATTCTATATTGTATCGATTCTAAAGAGGCGATTAAAGTGTGTGTTATTGATATACGAAATAGTTATATAATACAAATTTAGAGAAACTCGTATTATAAAATAACGATGAACAAAATGATCATACGGTCTTTACAACGCATCGCTCATTCAAATTTATTCAAAGAATTTTCAACTTTTATAATAAGCGTCTATTCGTCAAAAAATTGGAAATCTATTTAAAATGTTTTCTATTTCTAATTGAAATTTTACATTTTGAGTTGACTAATCATTAACTAAAAATTATATTTAAGAGATTATTATTGTTAAGTTAGTTTAAAAAGGTTTAACCGACATTGCTGCTATTGAAATTTAATCGCGAAAATTTGGAGTTTATGAAAAGAGCACAAGGCTTATGTATTTCGTATATGTAAATGGCTCAGTTAACATTGAAGGGACTTTGAAGAATCTGCAATTTATCGATTTCGTTTTACTTTTGCAGGCACGCTCATCTCACGGAATGTCTCGGCTGACGAGCTGACGGGCCTATGTCAAGTTTCGGATGAGTCAGCGCTCTGGCTCGAGGTTCTCCCTAACACGTGCCTTCTCTTGTTAGGCTGCTTCCTGGGGGGCATCGCCGGTCTCGCCCTGGTGCGAGTTCGCCGGGTAGTTCGCTCGGCGGGCCGCAGCGCAACGAAGCTCGAGCGCTTAATGACGCGACTCGGAGTGTTTGCTCTTCTGTACGCGCTCCCTGCCCTCGGGAGCCTCGCGTGTGCCCTCCAGGAGTCGCAGGCCCGGCCCCGCTGGCGCACCCTAGCCCTGCTCGCAGCTCTTGACTGCCGCTCTTCTCAGAGTTGCGTGCCAGGGCCGCGCGAGCGACCTATCGGCCTTGAGTTCGCCCTTCTGCGACTCTTCCTCTCACTCGTCATAGGCGTTACTTCCGGTATGTGGGTTTGGTCAGGAAAAACCTGTCGCGCGTGGAGCAGGCTCCTCGCCGCCCCAAGTAAACCACAAAGGCCTGCTCAACAGGCCGTCCATCAGGGCTACAGACGGGAAGCCGTAAATGCCGCATGACCTGCGAGTTTCGTCTGTTTCGGCCTTGGGGCCATTCTCTAATAAGCCAAGCGCCAAATGTTCCGGAAAGTCGGAACACTGCGTTGGGATGATAAACCCGGTGAGATAATTAATTGAAGCCGCGATGGCTCTTTCGGTTAGATAAATTGGCTCTCTATGAAAGCTTCCAATCGAACTAGTGACTGCGCGTATTTTATCGAAATATTTTGATTTTAATTTTATTATTTTCTTCTCAAAGCGTGCAACGAGGTTAAGAAAATGTTCCTCTATAATATGTATAAGCCAATCAGGAAACGCAGTCTCAACAAGCTTGATTTTAACGAATAAGAAGAAAATGTTTCGAAAAAATGTCAACGTGATCAATTGTAAATACGTTTCTGTATTTATGTATATTGCGTATTAATCCAGTGTTTGTACAGCTTTATCTTTAAGATTGTTTTATTAAATATATTTGATAGAATGACTAAGCAGTGATTAGCTCCGTACTTTAACCAATTAATTGCTTGTCTACGATGAAATTTATCACGAACAAGCGAAGGAACATCCGATCATGAATTGAAGAAAATTCTATATAAATGTTTTTTTCATTTTTTTTTTTTTGTTTTTTTTTTTGTATAATTTATTTAAAATGTTATAATAAGACTGATTTATATATTTGAAACGTAAAACAACTCTTCTGTATCTTACATGCAGTTTAATTACCCTTCCGTCGTCCACAATTAGTTTATTAAATAAGTGGATTTATACTTTCAATTAGTAATATCAGTGTATTACGTATTACAATTAGTATTATTTCAAAACATAAAAATAACGTAAATTATTGTGAAATGATGTAAATTTCTATTTCCATACATTTCATTTTATTCAGTTTTCAATAAGTTAAAGCGTATTAGTTTGAAATATTAAAGATAGCGAATTCCAAAAACAAATGCCAATTTCTTAATTGTTAATATTCATAAATAACATAGACTTATGAAAACATAATTGAGAAATTAATTTTATAATAGTTTATAACAATTATAATATAATTGTGAAAAAAACAAATTGTGCATAAAAAACAATTTAAGTTTGTTCAAATAATAGTAAGCGCTATCTGTTTAAAACTTAAGCAGAGATGTATAAAAACATTGTAAATATTGTAAATCGATTTTTCACATTAATTCTTATAAAAATGTATAAGATACCCTTACAATTTATATTTGTGTGAATAAACTAAAATATATTGTGCTTTGTACAGATAAAATAATTTTCTTGCGTTGTCAATAATGATTTTTTTTTATTTTATAAGTTACATTTTCTTCTTTAATCCTACCCTTTAAAACTTTTATCTCTGCAAATCGAAAGTAAGCAATGCTTTAATCATCAATTATTGAAAAAGTTAACACATATTGCTCATAATTCGAACACATATTGTCAATTAAAAAAAAAAATTAAATACACGTATATATACATTGAATAAGGTGAAAGACAATTTGTCGATTATAATAATATTACAGTACTAACGTCGTTTATTTTATATTCAGTCTTAACAAATTTTTCGTTAATTTAGATTATTTGTTTTTAAGTATTTATTTAATATTTTTTAAAACAGATGATAAATCTTCTGCTATAGAATCCATTTATGTTTAAATATTATAAATAAATTATTCGAAATTGCTATTGATTGAATGGGAAACAGTTTTGTTGAATGAACTGACATTTTTTTTTTGTATATTCTATATACAAATAGAATAAGAACCAAATATTTTACAGATATAAATTTAAACTGAAATTATATTAGGTATTATATCATATCAATAAAAACATTATTTTTTTTATTTTAAATGATCTTCATTGTGTTATCATTATTATTTCTTCTATTCTTTTATCATCATAATTATATCTCATAAATATTTTATAAATTTAATGAAGAGGTATATATTTAATATATAATGCAATATTTTATTATATAATGTATTTTATTTGAATTTCAAGTGAATATTTTAGTATATATAAATAACAAACAAAAACTTTTGTATTTTATTTGCTTATTAAAGAATCAATTTGCACGTGATAATATTTATTGATTTTTAAAAATATACTTAAAAATTATTATCATATGTTAATTTTTAAATATTTAAAATAATTTGTAAACAATTCTGTTATCTAATCACATTACATATTTATAATACAAATAAAATATAATATAGTTATACTATGTAAATTAATATTTAGGACATTTAACAAATTAATGGAAAAATTATTATACTTTTTTCTACGCTACCCACGAGGTAAAATATATTAGCCCTTTTTTTTTTTAAAGTGGTATCCCCTGTAAGCCTATTCCACTTGTCCACTTAAAATATATTTACAAAGTATTTATTCAAATTTCAATTATAATTATTTTATAAATCCAGACGTTCGACAATTACCTTAATTCCATAAGATAAGTCGCTTATTAATTTTACAATGTCAATTTGTATTACCTTATTCTTTGTCTTTGCAGTCATTAGTTTTTTTTTATATTTTTTATCTTGATCTATTTTTCGTTTTTCTAACGAAATTTTGTCCATCGAATCGTGCGGTTGTTTTTTAGAAATTTTTGACGATAATGATTTTATACTATTTGTTGAGAGATATTGATTTTTTAATAAAATTTCATTACATACGTATGATAGCATTTTATTAGAGTTAGCGTACAAGTTCGCTTTTGACCGGGTTATTCGAACATATTTTAGATCTTCATTAGTGCATCTTATATCAATATTAGTTTTTAAAATCTCTTTCGTAATATATTGTATAATTGAGGTTTTATTTTCTATGGTATTAAATAATCTTCGAAGTGAGCGATAATTTGTAATTGTTTCAATGGATGTTACTTTATGATGTTCTAAAGGATTTTTAACTGAATTAATACAATTAAGAGTAAGAGTACAATTTAATATAATTATTTGCATTTGTTTAATACTATTAGTAGCCTCTTTAGAAACTCTGTCGGTTTGTTTATCCAAGCTTAATACAAAGTCCTTCTTATCATTGAGATTCGCCTCCACGCTAACATCATTAAAAGCTTTCTCGATGTCTTCTTCAATTGAGCTCAAACGTTTTGTACTCTTGAATAATTGAGACCAACAATGCTTTGTCTTGAAAGAGTCGATTTGCTTAGGAATTTGTTGCATATTTAACTTCTCTCTTTGTTTGATTATATCTCCAGTGCCATGTTCTATTTTGTTGGTTAATTCATTGAATTGTATGAAATTTTTCTTGAAATGAATGTTATATTTCTGTCTTGAAAGTTCAATACTCTCTTTTTTAGGTGTCATCATATTTTCGTATCTGTGATGATTTGAATGTAATAGACACTTATCATCACTCGCCACGATCTTTAGGTTGTCGAAAACGTTATTCATATTGACTTTCGTCATATGTTTGTAAATCGTTACCACATTCTTATCCTGTTTAATTATGAACATCAGACCTTCCATTATATGGTCTGTTATATTAGAATATGTCCCTTTTTTCCATTTAACGCCATTTTGATAAATAACATTATCGTTATTAGATGTTGCTTTAAGTAAATTCGTTTGCTTGATTCTACGGTTGTACGTCATAATTTTTAATGTTTTTATATTGCTGTTTTTTCACTTTATCAAACTCTTTGAAGTTATAAAATATAGCCTCCTGTTAGCCTTCTGCGACCGTAGAAGCTGAAATTATTTTCTGACTGAGCTTCTAGTTGTATTTATGACATGTGAAACATAGAGAAATTCTTATAATTCTAAACTTGATGGAATATTTTCTGAGAATTACAATTTATATCTATATTTAGCATCTAATTACGCATTTATTATTATAGATACAATTAAGTGCTATTTTGAAGCTTAAATTAAATTTATAGGAAGTATGGAATTATTTGTTGTATGAAGTGTTATTAAATTTATTGAATTCAGAATAGTAATTATTATTCATATTTCACTCAATACTAATTTTACTTCTATTTTTCTGTATTATATTTTATAAAATGAATATGAATGAACGTGAAATGCATATTTTGTCGTTAATAAGTATATTCAATTAATTTTATTGAAAATACGTTAAATTCAATAATTAAAAAATAATAAATAAAAATAAAAATAATTAATAATAATAAAAAAAAAAACAAAATTTATTTACAAATTAATTTAGAATTTTGTTAGTCCAAAAGGTCAATGTAACAAATTGTTAAAAATATAATTATATTTAGGATATCATTGTGTAAATAATTGTAATTTTTCATAGTTACAAATACAATTAGGCGACAGATTGCTTATTATATACATCGTTGTACAATTTTAAGTACTTCTTAAGCTCTCAAAAAGTTATAATTAAGATTTTGATTAATACAAATGCAACCAATATTAATATGTACGATATATTAATGCAAAATAGTCAGTAAATAATAGGAGCATATGCTCTAGTGAACAAATTTTCAACAGCTTTCCGAATTGGTTTCACATCCATTGAACAATTGTCGGTAAAACATGCATTTACCTGATAAAATAGTGAGAGGAATGCATAAATGCAAAATCAGTGATCGCTGTAAAAAGAGTAACTATTTCAAGTATAATTTTATAGTGTGGTGTGCGTAATTGTATGCGTTATGTTCAATTTTATTTAGGTTAGATATATGACTGTTATTGAAGCAATGTGTATATTGTTTAAATTAAAAAATCTTGTCATTATAAATATTATCAATATCATAACAATTATATTACAATTTAGTTATAATTAATTTCATTATATAATTATCTATGTATAAACAAACCACTGCAGATAAATTATATCAGTTTTTATTATTTAAATAAGAAAGCAATAAAGTTTAAAACATTCTTTTAGTTTTTAACATATTAAAAAATCATTAGTAATATTAAATTTAATTTTAAAAAGATTAGAAAATCTAAAGAAAAATCACATTAATGGTATAAAAAAGTTTAGGATTCGTAGCTTAATCGAAAAAAAAGAATTTACAGATTTAGCTTTTGATTAATGTTTTTGAAGATCTGTTGGTTTTATGCGATAATAATGACATTCATATAATTTATTATAATATATTTAATAATAAAATTAATTTTTCATACATTAATGTGCATAACTATTTAACTATATTAATATTTATCTTGTATATTCGTTTCTACAGGCAGGTATACATTATTCTTAATTCAGATATTAATAAAGATAAGCATTATTAAGGGTTATATTTACGCGCGCGCGCGCACGCAAAAATGCAAGCATATGCACACACACATGCAGATGAATGAATTTTACTGTCGTAAAATTAATAACGATAAAAGGTAAAGTTTTATTTCAATGTTTGAAAGATTTTTTCAACCAATATAATTGTCATTTATTTGATTTTAAAAGTACCGCTATGTGGCAATAGCAATCAGTAGATAATATTCAGTATGTAGTTATTGGATAGGATTTTTTGAAAAAGGTTATAAAGAATAATATAAAAGTACACGAAAGTTGAACATACGCTTAAGCTTTAATTTAGAAATTAGCCTTAATAACAATAAAGTTTAAATATGGCAGTAAATTTAAGATTATCGTTAATAAAAATGAAGCTTAGAAATAGTGCTATTTTCTCCACAATGTTTTTCCATTTAATGAAACTAAATATAATGAATTTGTAATAATTAAAGTAATATATGTTTATGAATTGTAGATAACCCAAAGGTCTATTCATGTTGGTGTATATTATTAAATATTTAATATTTATAAAAATGTATTCTTTGTACTTAAAAATTTGTAGCATATGAAATTAGTTAATTATGTAAATATTATGCTATGAAAAATATTTGTTGATATTTATAATACCTATGTATCTGGAAATAAATTTAATATAAACTAGATTAATTTTATTATTTAATCATTTGATTTATTCAAAATGTAAAAAAAATATCTTATCTGCACTGATAACATACATAATCTTATCTAAATTATAACTGTCAACTACAATTTATTGTGGGACAGATTTTATAGTTTTTTAATTAGATATCTACGATATATTTATTTAAAATTTTTAATTTATATTGTATTAAAATGACTAAGACAATTGCTGTAGTCGGTTCTTGTATGATTGATTCAATTGTGTAAGTTAAAAAGGATGGGTATATGTTATTTATATAAATTTAAAAAATTAAAGTATTAAAATTGATTATAGATATTCATCTCGTTTACCAAAGCCAGGTGAAACACTTTTAGGTAGTAAATATGAGCAAGGCTTTGGAGGCAAAGGTGCAAATCAATGTGTTACCGCTGCTAGGCTTGGTGCATCAACAATATTTATTACTTCAGTAAATAATTAAAAGTCTTCTTTTGGTTTATTTGTAAATTAATGATTAAATATTTCTACCATTGTAGTTAGGATCAGATAAAATTGGACAATCATATTTAGAAAAATTAAAACAAGAAAATATTGATATTTCGTATGCAAAAATCCAAAATAATAGCCATACAGGTGTTGCTCAAATTATAGTTACAGAGACAGGTAATAAGATTGTTAATTATTATTAAGAAGTTATTAACTTTTTATAAATTATATTCATAAAAACTCATAATTTAAAATTTTTTTTGTATTTATATTAGGAGAAAATTCAATTGTAATTGTTCAAGGTTCTAACGCATTATTATCTGTAAAGGACGTAATAGATGCAAGACAAAAAATTCAATCTGCATCTGTACTTCTCTGTCAGTTTGAAACATCATTAGAACCCATATTAGAAGCATTAACAATATATCAGGGACATGGTTTGTAAAAAAAATCTAATAAATATTATATAATTATATAAAATTAATTTTGATGAATACTTAACTCAATAGGAACATCAATCGTTAATGGTGCACCAGCTGTAAGCAATGTAGACCCAAATATTTTCAAATTATCCGATATATTTTGTGTCAATGAAACAGAAGTAAATCATGAAAACTTTAATTTTTATTTTGAATAAATTTTGACAAAAATTTGTAAATTTATTAACTTAAAAAATAGGCAGAAATTATGACTGGAATACAATGTATAACAATATCAAATGCACAGAAGGCTATAGATAAACTGTTTTCTCTGGGCTGCAATACTGTTATTATAACATTTGGAGCTGAAGGAGCAGTTCATGCTACTCAAAATAATAAAAAACTTGTACATACATCTACAGAAATTTTAAAAGCAGTGGATACTACGGTAAGAAATATTTTACAAGCCAGTTATAGAAAATTAAAAACATGAATTTTAATAAGTAATAATAACCAATTAACAGAGAATTAACAGAGAATTAAATCGCATTAAATAAGCCTACTATATCAAATTTTTTCGTTTATTATTAATCATCTATTAATGTTTTCTTTATTAAAGTGCAATGCAACTAATTGTTTACATCATTTTTATGAATTACATCCAAACATCATTATATATAATTAGGTTTCACAAATCTAAGAATTGAAAAATAAATTCATTAATGTCAGAAGTATAATTGAATTCTAAAAAAAAATTTTTTAGGGAGCTGGAGATGCTTTTTTAGGTGCTTTAGCTTATTATATAACATATCATTCAAATTTATCATTAGAAGAATGTATTAGAAGATCTAATAGAATTGCTGCCCAAAGCGTTTTAAAAGCCGGAACTCAAACAAGCTTACCATATAGAAAAGATTTACCAATTGAACTGTTCTAAATATATTGTAATAATTGAAAATCTTTAATTATCAGAATTACTTAAAAAAAGATTTTTCAATAAATAATTATTTGTATAATTTTACAATTCTATTTTAATTATTTTAATAACTCAAAGAAATTCAATATTTAATATATTAATATTATATATTAATATAATAGTGATATATCAACTTAATTTTTTTTTACAACTGGGATATATTTAATGTATTCTATAAGACTCATAGTTTATAGTATTATTAATAAGTAAATAATAGTGATATAATTAAAAATATGAAAATTGATGTAGAAAACTAATATTTTATTTGTACGTATTTTAAATATTAACAATTATAATTTCTTTTTATACATTTTTTATATATTTAATATTAAACTATCATATTATACTTTTAATCATTTTTATTTATCTACATTGTAAAAAATTTTAACTTAATATTTCTAGTTTGCAAATTCTATATTTTCGAGTTGTTGTATTTCTAGTAAGAACTATATTTGACTTTTCTTTTATAAGATTAAATACAGAAGAAAGAATAACATATCCTAATCCAATTCCTTTTGCTTCTTGATATGAAAATCCACCTTGTGTAACATATCCTATTACTTCCCTATCACAAGAATACCTTACTACTTTACAACAGTCTATGGATAACATATATTTAGTTTGATTTTCAATTCTATTTTTGTTCTCCTGCTTCAATTTTTTTCTAGCGAGCCGCTGAATTTTATTACGATTCAATTTTATTAATAAATTAAAGCTAGGTGATTTTAACTTTTTTCTCTTTTTCTTAGTTTTCTTTTTCATTTTTTTTGACTCTCTATTTTCACTTTTTAGTACTGATTGTACAGGTCCTGACCATGTTTTATCTTCGTTATACTTTATTAAGTCGTCTTTTGTTGGTATGCAAATGATTGAAAAATCTTTAGGTAAACCTTTGTTTTCATTTATTACTTTAATAGGTACAAAACAATCTTTATCTTTTATTAAATCATCTAAATCAATTGATGCATTATTTTTATCAATATTTTTATGAATATTTTTTCTTTTCTTTTCTAAACTCATGCAGATTTTTGTATTAAGAGTTGAGAGAATATGATTATCTCTTAAAATATAAAAATTGTCTACATTATTCCATTCCTTTATAAGTAAGCTCCATTCACAAAAGAATGGACTACTTATACCTAATTTTGTATAATTAACACGTTTATTTGAGGGAAGCTTATAATGCCTTTCAATTAACATAATTCTTTTTTTACTTGCTTCCACTTTGTAAGCATTAGTATCCGGATGATTTATATCTGGAACATTAAGATTTGGAGTTTCATATGCAATTGATTTTGATTCTCTTAACCCACCAACTCTTGCACATCTCAAAATAAGTGCTAACCAAAATGGCATTGACCAACCAGATGGCAGTATAATATCAATTCCAGCACCAAAATTAATATTATTATTATTTACATAATTTCCAGGCTTTTGAATAAAAATAATTGGTATTTTATGCATAATGTTTTCATTATAAAATTGATCGTTATGAACTCCAGGGACTAAAGATTGGCTTCTTAAATTATTAATGACACTTGTTGATACATAATTTTTAGTTACATAATTTCGTACGTTCGAGTCCCACAATGGACTTTCATTTGCTAATCTTGGAGGCACTAAGATACTTTCAGTTATCTGTGAATTTGATAAGGATTTAATTCTTTTTTCAGGTAAAAAAAAACGAGGATCTAGAACTGTTAGGGCTAGTATCATATTTGGTGGTAATTGACTTGGAAAATTTAAACCTACTAAATTATTAAACATATCATTTTGAACTTTAAATGTTTCTAAATTCTTTTCCGATTGATAGTAAATATTATACCATGTATTAGTTGAATATTTGGTTTTATCTTGATTTTTAATATCTATTTCACATAAATTTTGATTATCTTGAATATCCATTTTTTCAAAATTTTTATCTACTTCTACGCTCGATTGATTCATTACATCAAATTTTGAACGAATATGAGGTAGCTTGAATGCATCAGTCAATGTATTAAGAGTTAAGGGTCCAGATAGTCGAAATCTATTCAAGCAATTTCTCAAAATTGTTAATTGACATTCATTATTATTTGTATAGATAGGAACTTTAGTGGTACGAAAAATTTTTAATTCTGAAGACATTGTTTCTGCTTGTAGATCCTTAACTATATCTTGATCTTTCTCCACTATTGTATCAGAAGTATTGCTATTTGTTTCCAATACAAAATTAAAATTATTTATAATTTCTTCTAAGGTATCTTTATACAATGCAGGATGTACCCAAATCCAAATAGCCTTTGAACTACAACTATTAGCATTCCACATAAAATTTATATATCCAATAGGATGATATGGGTAACCATTTGCTTTATAAAACATTAATGTACCCTCCCTCTCTCCATTAATATAACATTTGGCACCGAATGTTAATTCATTTGGATTACAATGCATTTTTAATTTTTGCGTTAAAAATACTATAGGACCTGTAATTTCAATACATGTATAATAAGAGATATCTTGGATTAAGCAATGATTTATTACAGCTCGATAATTTGCTCTGAAACACCTATCATTTGAATAATTAGCCAACTTGAAGCCCCATTTTTCAATCATTTGAAAACGTTTAGCATGCCAAATGTGAGTTTCAAGCCAAAATTTATTTCTCTGCCTTCTGTTATATTCTAAAAGTAGATTGTATGGTCGTCTACGATACTTTCTTGATGGTCGTTTAGATTTTGGAGGTAGACCAGACTTATTCATTTGACTTAAATGACTTGCTCTCAATCTTCTAGGCATACGTTTAGCATTATGAGACATCACTCTACGTCTCATATGAACAGGTAACTTTTGAAATATCAATTTTGTCTGATGTGGATTTTCTATAATATAATACTTTGTTTAATAATTACCTTAGAATTATTATCATATACTTTTAAATGTATAATATGCAAGACTATCTTTAGAAAAATAATTTTTCAAATATTTCAATAATGAATTTATTAATTTACTATAATAAATATAATTTATTACAAATTACATATATTTATTTACATACCTAAAGAATAGGTCATTGCTGCAATTTCACTTGCTCTTGCCGAAGCAAGCTTAAGAATTTGGGCATTATCTGGTAATCTTTCGGAACCACCTAAATATTCATCAAATTGCTTTTTATCCGACATGTTGATAATTTCCTCTATAAAATGCAGATTATATAAATTTAATAAATAAGATATCTATTATTTACTTAAAAGAGGTTAGTATTTTCAAGTGCTAATAGGGCGACATCTGCATGGCGACCTATAAATATTCACTTACCCTATTTTACAAGAGATGATATTTGTATCTTTGAATTATTCTGAGATTTATTTATTAATCCAAATAAATAAATAAATAAATTTTTGTGTTTCTATCGGGAAAAAACGATCATTAAAGTAATTGATGAACTGAAATCAACATTATATTTTTAGTAAATTTACATATATTTTTTATAACATTTAATTGATAATTTCAAGTTATCATAAAGAAGAAACACAATTACTGACATCACTGTATGCTATTTTCAATGTAAGATAATTTTAAAGTCGGTAAATTTATTATTCTATTACAATTAAAATATATTGAAATTATATAAATTGAAATATTGTGAAAATGAACAATTTCTAATTTTTTTCTTCTTTTCTATAATTCTATCTTTTTTTTTTATTTATTATCTCATTATTACGGCATAATATTTTTATAATGTAATGATATTCTCTAGGTTGATCGGAACAACTTATACTATACGAACCTAAATTTGTACATGAATATACTTACTATCCTAAATCAATTCTATTTGTTTTTATTCATTTATTAATTTATAATTTCATTTACGTTTATTAGTATTTTACTTATATTATAATACTAATATAATATTTGATAAATATCCGCAATTAGTTTCACAATTTTTTAAAATGCTCCCCTATACTATAATTTATAAGAGTAATGATCAAACAAGTGTTTGATGTAGTTGGAAATAAAATGTTTCCCAACTGTATGAATTCAACTTGCATTACGAAATTTCATTTTAAATCTTACTTTTATTCTGAAAGTGCCGTCACACAAATTGTAATTGCTGATAAATTTGGTATTATTTTTCTATTTAAAAAGATAAAATAAAGATTTTATCGCAATATTTTCACTATAATAACTCATGTTCGTTTTTCTTTGGTATTTCAAATTTGTATTAAAGTCGTACACTTATCGTTGTTTAAGTAAAAATACTTTCTCCTTTTCTTTTATTTGTATTTTATTAATTTAAATTTATATATGTGAATTAAAGTATTCTAAATGAGCAATCATGTTCGCTTTATTTATATCATCGCTAAATTATTATGCTCTATACTGTTCAATTTTACAATCTTTAGTACTTTTCTGTTGGCATATTTTATGAAGAAGTACAAATAAGAAACAATTTATTCATGTGCACAGTGATAAGATGATTTTTTTATGCACTTAATAATAAGTTTATTTCTTTATGTACAAAGAAATAAGGTATATACGAACTTAAAATGGTATTGAAATATATATAATAATTATACTTATAGTCTATGAGAATCCGCTATACGTATAATTTAAGAAGAACAAAGTTAAAATTTAAACCGCAAACGAAGAACAAAGATCCGTTTCCTGTCTTTTAATTAAATTCCTCAACTTTATAGGTACCGGGGTTAGTTTAATAATTATATACAAAATTATACAAATCAAGAATATTATTTATTATTATTTATAGTTATTTGGAAGTATTGCTTATTATATATTTAAAGGTAAATTGACGCTATACATCTAATGTCAAGAATTGATAATTCATTCGGGCAGATATAATTCTATAATTTTAGTGATAATATATATACTACTGTTTTGTTGTAGATATATTTTTATTGCAAACTCGTTTAATGATGGAACTACTGTTCATAAGGCGTTCCTTGTATTTTGTTTTTGTCTCAAAATATGCGTAAATACTTATGCGACAAATATTTTTTTTTGCAAACAAGATTTTCGTTTTTACGTGTCAATGTTAAATCAATATTTAAAATTGTTATTCACAATAATTGTGTTTGAAACGTTTGATTTAGTAAATATATATTTAATATATTTTTAATATGATAATATTTAATATGCTTTTATATAACATTTTAGAATTTATCCTATTCTTTATTTAAAAATTCAATTATTTTAATTGTATAACTTATTAAAATTATTTCAAACTTATAATTAAATTAATGTTAATTCGATCGTGTTTTTGCAAAAGGTATAATTTTTCTGAAAGAGTTATGAGATCATATTTGAAATAACCTAAAATTCGAGTAATATAATTATATCTTTGCGCAGATAATAATATATATCAAAATAATAAAATCTTTTGGAGATAGACATAGTTATTCATTAGTTTATGCATTTATTCTGTCATTATTTGTATTTACTTAGTCCTATTATTATTATTGTTGTTGTTATTATTATTATTATTCTTATTGTTATTATTATTATTGTTCTTGAATTTTTATATATTAAAATTTAACTTTAAATTTTACTATTTAAAATTCGATTCAGATTAAAATATTTTTATTAATTAAACTATTATTAAATTTACCAACATGATAATATAAAGAAATTATTAACGTATTTTGGAATAGTACGTAAATGTAAATATTTCGATAGTAATTAAAGCATTAATATTATTAAAAATGATTCTATTAAAATTTTGACTATTATTTGTGGAATTCCATATGTACAACATAAATAAAGACAAAAAATTGACGTAAATATATATAATGCTTGAACCGAAGTTTTAAATTAAATATAATAAATTTCATAAAGTAATTTTTAAATTATAATTAGCATCAGATTTTTAATATTTAATAATAAATATGATAATACTTTAACTATTGAGTACTATATATGCCTTTAATTATCGTACTCATACATTATAGATATTCAGAAAATTCGATGAAACATAAATACCGCGTATATTATCAATATTGCAAAATGAATAAAATTGCATTAGTGAAGTTGAGCATGATCAGGTAACTAAAGTATTAAATTAAAAAAATTATATGAAGAATCTTTGTTGGACAGTTGAAAACAAATCATCTTTACACGGGATAAGATGAAAATCGGAGCATAATACAAAAACTTAAGATAAATTTAACATGAATAATTTAAAATTTTGATGCTGATTAATATAATATAAATAATGTTAAATATTCTGTTACTCGAACAATAATGGAAATTTTCAAAAACGTCGATTAAATAATTTATATTAATTAAAGATGCAAACCTGTATATTTTAAATAATTTATTTGTTTTTCAATTATTCCTACATGAATTATTAATTTTCTCGAAGTTTCCGAATTATACAACATAAAATATTTTGACAAAAATAAAGTTTACAAGTTATTTTGTTTTTACAAGTTATTTTATTTTCATTAATTGCAATTAGCATTGGATATATTTATAAAAAATAAAAGTAATAGAATTGTTGATATACCTGTGAGTATATTACCTTGAAAACATCTAAGTTTCTATTCAGATTTAACTGATATAAATATATTTACTCTGGGTCTTATATTAACATTTTAAATAATTTGAATAAAATTAATAAGTATATTTTTATTGTATAAGTTTAATTAAATATATTGGAAAAAGGTTTTATAAAATACATCAATATTTACCGATAAATCAATACTTATATATTGATTAAAAGTTTTCAATTTAATACTTTGTTCATTAATTATAATTGATTTTCTTTTTATATGGAATAATAGCTATATATAATGATTTTTTTATTACAGTGTTTGAATATTCAGTTTTTTAAAAGCATAATTGGCTTAAAATTCGAATTAACGTAATACAATAATTATGAAAATTGTTAAATACTTTATAAAATTGTGTTATATATTATTGATAATATAAATAATTATTTTATTATAATATTAAGTTTAGCATTATCAAAATATCCTGAGTGGAGCTGAATTATTCTTGTAAGTTTTTCAATACTTTGAAAATTAATAAAAATTTAAGGCTAAAACAATTTGTATCAGTTAAAGATAGACCCTTGGTTCCATCAAAGAAACCCTTTGCTTTTAATAAATAGTTCGAATGTAAATTCAGGAGTATTTTAAATATATATATTTTGATCAGACATTGTTGTATAGTTTCGAGATTTCAAATTATGTGACAACGGATTTTATAATACTATTACATCTATTTTATTTTGGTATAAGGTATAATTTAAATAATTGGGTTAATTTTTCAAATTGCAATAGTTAAACGTAATTAAACCGAGTTTAAAAAAATTAATTTTTAAATAATTAAAAAATTAGTATTATATTTTATAATTAATTGATTAATGTAATGAATGCTAAGTTATCTTTCATTTTATATATTTAATAATATTTTTTATTTTAAAACTTGAAACTAATTTGACTTATTTCTTAAAATTTCAAATTAATTTTATCATTAATATAATAACTATACTGATATGAAACATTTTGAATTTTTATTACAAAAAAGATGAGGTCAATTTATAAGCCTGTAACTGAAATCGGTCAAATGTTAATATTTTTAAAAATTTGCTATTTATGTACACACAAAGCAATTTACATAATTGTAATTGATATTTTGTAGCTGAAAAACCTATCATAAGTTTTGTCTTTTTAAGGAGATATTGAAATATTATAACGTACTATCATGTATTATTGGAAAAAGTGAATCAATTTTTTATAAATTATAAGTAAATTCAGATGTATTAAATGAAGTACAATAAGAAAAATATCAATTATGTAATTTCTTGTTCGTGGTTAATTATTAATCTGTATAATATAATGTACACTGATATTTCGAATAAATTTTTAAATATTTTTGATGTACAGGTTTCTGTATTCGCAATATATCAATAATGAATTAACTATTAGCATTAAATAAAAATAACACTATTGATTTGGAATAAGTGAATTTTAAATAATCGATTTAAAAATATAAATTTAAAAATTAAAATTATAAATTTAAAAAAAGAAATTACAAATATAAAAATTTAAATTTAGTAAAAAATTATAAAGCAAAAAATATATTTTTGATAGTTTTATTGAAATTGTTTATTTTCATTAAATATGTTTACTAAATAATGAATATTTGAATAACCCTCTATTAGCCTAGTACTGTAACAATCCATAATATAAGATCCAAAAGCCTGAACGATTTTTCTTGACGAATTTGAATTTACAAAATATTGAGTCATAATGCAAAATTGATTTCATACACTATAGTCTGATATCGCAGTTTATAAATTTTAAATAAAATTGAATAGTATAGGTAGATTATAACCTCAATTCAGTATGGTAGCAAACAAGAATCATTTACTAATTGGCCCTTGTTTGGTAGACGTAGGCCACTTACAGTCGGCGGGACTGAATTCTCCCATATGTCGCCGCCGTCTTGTTTCTTATTCTTACTTCGTGTATGCCTGTCGTAACAGAATTTAGTCAGTGCGGGTTACATGCGTGCGCGCGTATGTCGTTTATAAATTGTTTTCTTTATTTACTCGTCGTTGCTGTCATTTCCTTCGTTTATATTGACGTACTCGTTTTTTACTTGAAGTTTCATCAATCCGTGGATTTTCTGAATCGAAAAAGGCCGGAAGGTGGGTTTGTTTTGTAAAATATAAGTGAATATTTATGAACAATTAATTTACAGTGCAATTTTGTCCTATAGTTACGTGAGTTTTTGAGGGCTTGTTCTGTATTTTTTATTTTCACGTACTTTAAGGACACGAGAGAATAATCATTTTCTTGTCATTTGCTGTCGCATTTCAAAGCCCATTATTTCTATATTTTTTGTGCCTCTAATGTATGTGATGATGCGTTTACAGCTACGAAGTGCTCACACATTGACGCATTTAAACGTGCATAGCGGGACTGCTAACTCATGGTCAAAGCGAATGAGAAGTAGCAGAATGTATTTCTATCCTTTTCTCTTAGTTTTATAGATGTGTTATGTGTACAAGCAATTTTGACCGTCTTTTCACTAATCAATTTATTTTCATTACGTCGATGCATATACTTCCGTTTTAAAATGGTAAATTGGAACGTAAAACGCCATTTAATGTTGGCCAATGTCTGACACACTCGTATCTCATTTAATTGAATTAGTTATAAAAACAAGAATTTTATTTTAATGACAGCAGTACTTTACATTCTTTTCTTCTTTAATCTATGAAGTTTTGTTCTTAATACTTATATGCTTTGAACCTTTTCAAATATTTCGCAAAATAGTTATAAATATTAAAAGATAATATAAAATAAGTAAACGTTTGATACGATTCTTAAATCGAAATATGAATATATACTCATATTTATATTCATATTTAATTTTTTTTAATACAAAACTCTCAAATATTCGAAAATTTTATATTTTTAATTAATAAATATTGAGTTCGTTAATCTTTTGCTTTTAGTTTAATATAATTTATAAATTAAAAATTCTTTAATATTTTAATATTACATTTAAATTTTAATTCTTATTACCAAATTAAGTTTAGCATTAATATTTTTAGTAATATGCATCATTATTAAGTAATTTCGTTTATATATAACATTTTATTTATCTAATTTACATTTACTATAATATATAAACATTAACATTGTAGGTATAAATTTTTCTTTTACAATTTGTTATATATATATATATATATATATATATATATATATACATATCTGAAATATATTTTTAGTTAATAATATTAACATGTATAAGAAAATGAAAACTACATTTAAATTTGCTTCAATTTTTGATTTTCAAAGGTAAAACCAATATTTAATAAAATTGTAAACAAAATTTTTAATGACTTCATTTAGAACAGCAAAATGCCTGATCATTAATAATTAAACAATATATAAAATTATTAATATTTCAATCTAAGTAGCTTCCACCTTTTTATAAATTTTGTTACTTATTTTCATAATTTTATTACAAATAGTTTTGTTCTTATATTTTTAAAGTTTATTACCTCTGTTGAAGAGGTAAAGTTCAAACTCGATATTCAGAAACATCCGGCAGTCCAATGCAGGAAAAATTATATAGAATCAATGTAAAAGAGATTTAGACTATTGGAAGATATCACATTCATTTGTTTTAAAATGAAAGTCTTATGTATTATGTAAGGGTAATCGTTAAGACGAGGGCTGACTTTCATTTTCATTTGTTCATAAAACAGAGGAAGAGAAAAATTTTCAGTACTCATATAATAATCAATGATTTAAAAAAAACAACTTTATAATTTAATTGAAAATTATTATTTTTAAGAAGGATAATTTCTTATAAACAACATATTATTATTTGTTAATTAAATGTTTGGTTTTATTTTATGAATTAATAATTTTGTTTATATAAGAATCGATATTATTTCATTATTTATTGATAATGTTTCTTAATTTTTTCGAGATTAGTAGTAATTATTCTGACATTAAATTAGATAATTTTTTATACACTCTATACTCTATACTTTATATTATATGCGTAAAATATAATCAGCACAAATACTGTTACGCAATATTTTTTAGTTCAATTGAGTTTCTTATAATTTGTAATGAATCTATGAATTTATATTTTTAAATTTGTTCGTCCTCCTTTTATGTTACATTTTATGCGTTCTACTTGGAATTTGGGACAGTTAAGATGTGATTGATACCGAATTGTCACGAAATTGCAATCGGTTATGCAGATTTTCCATTTATTTGTTGTATATAAAATTAATTTTTTATTTTACTAAAAATACGAAAGTAACAAAGCTTTTATTAAAAATTTGTTTTTCTTCGTACCTTTTTTTAAAAACGAATTAAATTTTGTACTTCTTAATGAATAGTAAAATATTTTAATTTATTAATTAAGATTTTATGTTTATTAATATATTTTTTTATTTAATAATTAATGTTAACATATATTTTAATATTATATATAATAAATATATATTATATTTATTACAGTTATAGTAAATATAATATAGTTAATATAATAAAATAAACAATAATTATTAATTAAAAATTAAGATACATAAAGTATTTATTATGTTTATTCGTAAAAACTAAATGATGCATATTCGTAATAATAATTTATATAAAAACAATTTAATTTTCAAAGTAAGAGCTTTTCGAATGTTTAAATCTTTAATTCTATTTATTAATTGTTATATAATATTGAATTTTAAATATGTGCTTATTCTGAAAACGAATAAACTTTGATTTATAAACATTAATTCTCATTTAAAATGAAAGATAAAATTTAAAACTTAAGCACAATTATTACAATAATATTTGATTATAATAAAACTTATCGTAACATTAGATTAACAAATATTGCTGAACTCTAAGTGTTTAGAATTTTTACATATTTTCATCTTCGTAAGAAAACATAATAAGCTTGTTTTAAAAAATAATTAAAACTTAATTTTTAATGTTATTTATTTTGTTTTGCGTAGAAGAAAACAAATTATATTGTATTATAAAAAAAATTATAAAATCAATAAACTAAATTTAGTCATTGTAGATTTGTTACATTAAAAAAAATTAAAGACAAATAGAATATATTGTATTATATAAATTAAATAATGTAAATAAGAAATTAAGAGTGGATTAAGTAATATTAATATTTTTATTGATTTTGCAATATGAAAAAGTTAACCATGTTTTGAAAGAATATTATATTCTTATTGAATGTGCAAATAAATATTGTATTTATTTGTTTATAATTCCATTGCCAAATTATTTTTACGCTTAAAGAGCAAGATTTTTATTCCTTAATATCTTGTTTATTTTAAATTGAAATGAGACAGAAAAGTCAAATAGTCAATAAATGGAATGTTAATATGCTTCACATAATAGAAACTCGATGGCTTAAGAAAAAAATGCTTTTATGTTTTATTACGAAAAGATGATTGTAAGCATTTTAGTTACGTTTGTCAACACTTTTACTGACCGAACGTCACAAAATGTAAACTGCAAGACCTCGAAAGTAGAACGTGATTGTTCTAAAGCTTTTCACAAAATCTCGCCGCCAGTCCGTGAAAGCGCATTCGAATGAGCGAACGAAACAAAATGAATAAAAATCATGATAAAACATGTTGCCTTTTTTCAGCGTCGCCATCTCGTGTTCCGGTCTTCTTCATAACCTTATCAAAGCACGTATCGAATCCCCGATGACGAGGTTGCGTTTGCGCGCTTGTTGCGTGTGTCGTGCAGCGCGTAAGAGCGAAAAAGGCTGCGGGAGGGAGCGAGCAAGACGGAAATAGAATTCTCTCACCACGAGCCACGTTAATGCACGCACGTTTACATGCATTTATACATATGCGTATATATATATATATATATATATATATATATATATACAAGTGTATGTGTTTGCGTGCAACTTTGGATTTACATATGTACAGAGAGAGATAGAGAGGAATAACGCACGTGCGTGTATCGGTGATAGAGGAACTATGGAGGGGGAAGGGCTGCGTTGCGTATCGTGCTTTGTAGTAGGGAACGTGTCGGATAGTCGCCATCTTCAGAGGTCGGGCGAGTTTGAAGTTACAATTTTCTGATTAGCCCTTGGAGTCATCGGAACTACTTAATTCGGGGCTCCTCGGCAAACCTCCGCATTCCTTAATGTGTACGGCCTTACAGTGCTACATACTTGTCGCTGGGGCTAATTTCATGCACGCACGCGCGACGCTCGCGCGGCCGCACGCGCGCGCGCGCACATGTAGTCACATTTGCGAGCCTATCGCGCAAACACGTAGAGCGGCGCCTAGGAAGGGGCTGGATTATATATCGTCCGCTGTTGGCCGCTACTACAGTCCATGCACATCTATTTTCCTCGTCGTTCGCTCGCTCTCGGTTTACTCTCGCATGTAGTTCTGTCTCTCTTTCGTGTCATAGACGCTTAAGCAGTCGAGTCGAGAGAAAAAACGCCGTGTAAGGAAGTGCTCTGCTGCACGCGCTACGTACATTGAATATTGCGCTGCACGATTTTGCTAGGGGAAAAGAAAAAAAAAGCACACTTTGGGACGGACTGTGCGAGCAGTCGGGTGCGTGTGTGCGTGCGTGCGTGCGCCTGTGCGTAATCGCATGGTTTTTCCGTCGTATGTGCGATTGCCTGGTGTGGAGAGTTTAATATTTTGATCGATTTGTGGATATTTCGGAAGACACGACATTGTCGCATTTGCTGATACTGCAATTTTACAGAGAATCGCCGCTTTTCCTTGGATTAATTTGTCTCTGGAAGTTTAGTTTGCGAGGCTGTCGCGCTGCTTTTTGTTAAATCAGTAATTATTTTTAAAATAACGGCGCTCAATGCCTTCATTAATTCTGCCGTGCTGTTGTAAAAATATTGTGTTTTAACAAAAATTCGTTGTTGATTAATTTTATATATTGTAATTGGACCTACATTCTCGATTACAAATTCGCAAATTAATTTTAACGGCGTTCAAATTTCTTGCGTTTCATGAGTCTTGTGCATTATTTCTATGGTGAATATCTCATTGTTCACTTTATTAAAGGACACTCAATATCAGAGAGTTTTCGAGTCAGTTTAATTAAATTTTTCAGTAATTTATATTCTTGTGAGTGCAATTATGTGAGAGCATAGTTGTTTAACAAAATCTGATAAACTTATTGTAGCCAGTGAAATTAAAACAATATTTTAGTGTAAATCTTATCCGTGTTTTCTTATTGTGTACAGTGAGGGACAATTTCTTCAACAATGAGTTGTCAACGGAATTCTAGTAGAATTACAGCACCAGATGAATTAAGAGACATTCTTTTAGAATTCACTGTTAGTTACCTTCTTGAACAACCAGGAGATATCATTGATTATGCTGTAGATTTCTTTACACGCCTTAAGGAGAATCGACAAAATCAAATAATTCAGTCAAGCGGACAAACGTGTACTTCAACGCCAGATGAATCTGTCGAAGAAGGTAATTTAAAAATTTTCTTTTTACAAAGGATATCCTATAAGTAACATTAATTTTAAATTTGATTGCACATCGTAATTGAAGCACGATCTTAGATAATGAGTAATCAATCGTTTTGTCTTAGACGGCCATGGCATTTTAATGCAATATATTTATATAAAGTATTATTTTTACTTAATTTTGAATTTAAAACTAATTCCATCATTTTGTTGTAATTGTATTCTAAATATATAATTTTTAATAAATGAAAAATAAATTTGTATAATCTATATAAGAATTAGAGATTTATAAAAGTAAAAAGAAAGCTCTGTAGTAAGTCCACCAATATAAAAATATACCAATAAATTAAAATTTCTATTGCCTTGTAATTTAAATTCTCACAATACTATAGCAGTTATTCTTATTAGTATACCTTTAAGATTTATACGTTAATAGTAAATTAAGTAAGTTATATAACTAGTTTAAAAGTATATACCATTTATTTTATACACATGAAATCAATAGCAAACCATTATTTAACTATTTATTGTTGTAGCTTATTTTATAAAAAATAATATTTTATATTAAAATAATTACTCAATTTTTAGTATACTTGTCCAGGTTGATTTTATTAATTTTATTTTTTTGCACACTCAAGATTTACTCAAGAGATAAAGTTAAATCAAGTTCAATAAATATAAAGTAAAATATTCTAATAGAATTAAATTAACCTAAAATTATACCACTGGAATCAAACTTAACTAAAACAATTTTAACTATTGGAATATTTTGCTTTTGAATTATATTTTGTAGAAGTAAAATATTAATTATACCATTGAATACAAAAAATAAGTATATAAATTAGTTTAACAGATTTCAAGTTATTATAGATTTACATTGATGATATCAAAATTTTAACGGATAATATTTAAAAATTGAAAATGAAGTTTTTCTTACTGCTTTAGACTAGATATAATTATGTAAGCTTACTTTGTAATTTTACTGTATTATAGAATTCATTTCAATTTAAAAGATTTTCAAAAACAATGGGACTATAATTTTTATTGCAATAATGTAAAAGTAATTTTGAATATATTTTTCTTTCTATGATATAGTCATTTTTGATAGCTAAAATTTTTTAATTCCCTTAATATTCAAATAAATTTCTTCTAATTATTTCAATTAAAAAATTATAAATTAAACAGGTTCTTTTGTTGTATTGTAATGTTTGAAATAAGTTATGTATTTTTCAACTTATACTGATTTTTTATTACTTGTTTACATAGTAAGGTATATTAATAGGGTAAGCATGTTATGACAAGACATTATTATATTTGTATATTTTTCTTATTTTAATCTTGGAAATAAATTATGAAATTACTAATTTATAATTTTATAATATATTTTATCTGCAGGCATGCATTTTAATAATAAAGCTTATTTTAATTAGATTTTTTAAATGATGATTTTATTATTTAATTTTGCAGTTGAAAAAACAGTTGATTACTATGTCATGATGTTCAATCAAGGTATTGATTTCTATTATTAACCCTGGAATGCTATTCCTGATACATTTGATAATAAAAAATATTTTCAGTACTCTTCTTTTTTGATAAGAGTAGTATTTGTTAATTGTTTTAAAGTAATTATTGCAAGAAGTAAATATTTGAAAATTAATTTTTTTTTCTTTCCAGAATTAGAGATAGCTGTAATAAAAATTTAAATATTTTTATAATTGTTAATTTGGAGTATATTTATAAATGGTTTATATTACTATTTATATTATAAATATTATTATAAATTGATATTTAATTAAATGCAGAAAGTTTTTTTGATAAATGTTATTAATTTGAATTTATTCTAATTTATTATATCTATATTTTGTTTTGAAAAAATTTTGCTTTCATTTAATTTAATTAATATTTGCAATATGATATAGATAAATATAAATTTCTACAAAAACTCAAATTGATTACCAGTTTCTTTTAACTATTTTTTTTATTAGAAGATATTAGTATATATTAGAATTATTAGAAGCAAATTTGTTTATTATTGTGTTGTTTAGATACAAAACTACATTATATTAATGATTATTCAGAGTTTGAATTATCGAACTGAATTAGCTATGAGTAATTTACCTGTCCATCAAGTGTATAAATATGCACATCCGTATGTAGTAAAAGATCACAATAGTCTTAATCCATCAGATAATATTGTCTGATGGCTTTAACAATAGAACTGGAAATCATTCTACAATTTCCTTCTTTTTTTTTAAAGTACATCACTTGTATTTTAATGATAACGACAGAAAATACGAAATTGGCATTAATTAATTCAAATTATATACTTTTAGATTTCCTAAATAATATTGTAATTGATAGTTATAAAAAGTTAATCTTTTATTCAATATTTAGTTTGCTTTAGCAATTATTCTTTATTTTATTGCGATAATATAGTGGTTTTGTATATGTTATCTAATAATTAATTTTGCTATTAATCATTATGTATTTTATAATTTTATAATTCGAAATATTAATAATAATGAAAATAATATTTACTGATTTTTCTATTTATTTTTCAAAATGAGTGTAATGCTCGTATCATTGTAATGCTTCAGAAAAGTATTGCATATATATATATACGTGCACACACGTATGCGAATATAAGCAAGTAAATAAATAGGGAGTAAGAGAAAATTTGGTATAACACGTACCATACTAAAATGTATTATTATATATATATTTTTTGGAAAATATATTTTTATTTATTTCAATAGATTGTTCTATCGTAATACAGGTAAATTTATTTTTAATTAATGTTTATAATATTTAAAGATATTTATCGTTATTGTTATCTATATTTCAACATTATTTTCAAAATTATGATTCTTAAAATCTAAGAACATTGAATTATAAATTAGAAATGGAATTATATTTATTTGCATAATAAATATCGACAATATTAATTTACCAAATACAAAATGTTAGTTTATCTTTTACATATTATTTTCCTTTATTAATTATACAGATATTATTGAAATGGATATTGTAATTTGACTTATTAATCATTAAAATAATAATAATTATTATTATGCGTTTTTGTATGCATTTTAATCTTTGATAAATACGAAATTGATAATAAAATTATGTATTACATGTAAGTTTTGTTAATATTGTAGTAGCTTACTTCTCTATTTATATTATTTTAAATTTCTGTTTTGTTTTTTAAAAATCAATATCAATTTAATGTACAATGTGTTTCTCGTATTATATTTATATTTTAGTATACAAAATTACCAAAATATAATATATGCATACACAGTACAATATATACGTTGCTGTAGTTCATTAATTAATTTTGAATTCATTGAATATCAAACGTAATAACATACTGTGATAAGTGTATAATTTTTAATTAAAATTGAATATTAGCGCTTTTTATCTTCGATTGATTAAATATTTATATATTATTTCGAAAGTATAGAGGTAAAAAACAATATTTTATACAAGGTCTTATATTTTTTGAAAAGTTTGAAAATTAAAAATGAATGTTTTGAATATTAACTATCTGGGAAAACATCAATTAGCTCAATTAGTAATAATTGAAACGTAAGAATGTGGCATTTATAAATTAATAATTAATAAATTTGTTATAGAACCTCCAATTTGTAAGTTCGCCTCCAGGAGAAAGAGCGTTTTCACAGAGACTTATAATCCAGAAGAGGATGAAGAAGATGAAGGAATTAAGGTAGATTAAACAAAGTATTTTTTAATTTTATATATTTTTAAAATAAAATACTATATACCTATTTATTGTCAGTACTATTTCATTTTAAAATAAAATTATTAACTTAACGACGTTGAAACGAAAATTTAACATTTGATCGAAACAGGAAATGAAAGTTATATAAAAATTAAAGATATAAGACAAAACTTTAACATCATAATTATAATTTATAAGCTTTAAATATTTCGTTTTTAAGCATTTCTATAATTTAAAAAGAAAAATCTTCAAATATAAATGTCACATAATGCGATTTTATGGCATGAATTTTCCAATGTAAGACAAAGATAAGACATTAATTTATGTTAGTTTCTAATATCTGATGTTATGTCGCAGTTGTCTAATATTTTATTTTAATTAATGAATTACAAATTGATGTATTAAAACATTCTCTATATAATCTATTTGATTGAATAGTTGTTTAAGACTTTGAATTTGGCATTTTCCCCTATTGTAAGCAACTTTAATATAACAAATTTTGCTTCATTCTAATTTGAAATTACTTTTATTTGCGACATTAAAGTTTCTCTTAATTTATTATTTGTAGCAATTGAAAAAGTTATTAAAAAGAAGGAAAAGAGTGACATCTTTATCTTCGATATATTAGCTGATTACAATTTAGGATAATAATATCCGAGTTCATCGAAATTATTACCACACCTTCAAATATACTATTCCACCTTCAAGGACATAAATGCTTAGTAATACCGCAACGTTGTCTTCCCTATTTTTTTCCTCTTTTCTTTTGTCATTCTTAAAAAAACGATTTAACAAGAGACGACGCTTCATTATTATGTAGAACATCATTGTTTAACATCACAACAGATCATTGTTGTGCATCTCTTTAGTTCTTGTTGTTTCTTCCCTGTTATTCAATTTTTCTAATGCCTGATCTAGTGACGTAAAAGAAGGTATTTTGCATTATTTTAATATAGCTATTGCATTCATAATTAGGTACATAGTTATTAATTAAATATTATTCTATATAACAGTACAACAAGTAATTATAGACGTACTTGTATTAAACTCCTTATTGAGATTGAGATTAAGAGTTCGGATTTGAATATTCCGAAAATAAGAATAAATGTATGCTTTTTGATCACGGGCGCAGTCACGTGAGATTGCTTCTCGATTTAAGCACGTCTTTCTATTCTTTTTTTCGAATTGTCTCTTCGCCTCTCTGGCTCTACTTGTTGGCAAGTAGCAATGGTATGATGAAGAACGAGATATTGCGAGAAACATTGAACAGGATGTACTCGTGTAGGATAACACACATGCACACACGCACACGCACACGCGCGCGCGCGCAAATATACACACACATATAATAAAATCTTTTAATAAAGATTCGATATTTTCTTAATAACAATACATTGTCTTGCAGAGTGATCGTTGTTGCACTGTGTTTTTTAAATTCTACGTGTTTAGCAAATAACATGAATTATAAAGTTTCATTGTGATCAACTATTTTTATTTTATGCAGTTATAAATTATTGCGTTAAAATTAATTATATTTGGAGTGCATAAAATATTTATTTTTAGGATAATTATAAAGAAAACAAAAATATTTCTATATATTGAAAATAAAAACTATTATTTACAGTAAAAATCTTATATCTTTATTTATTCAAAATGAAATTTATAAGAATATGATTGTAATTAACAATGAATATAAACATTGAATTCTTAAATTAATTTAAGTTCCTTATTAAATATTACTTCTTAACTATTAACAGATTTCATAATATATTTGATTAATTCATGATTATATATTATTGTGTATTATTATATGTATACATTTTTTTTATAAATTTTTTATTATAAAAATTTACATTATAATTATATTCAAAAAATTACAAAAAATATTAATTGTAAATATAAATATTAATTAATATTAGAAAATATTCATTCTTATTTATTATTTATAGAGAAAGTGACAGTGAATTTGATTGGAATGCAAGTTAATTTCATAATATGAGTGAATAGAATAAAGGACTAAAAAACTTATGAAAAAATACTCAAATAAAAATTGGTTTAAATATGAACGCGATATTGCAGTGTAACGTGATGAAATTTTTACAATACTGTGATATGTGGAAATTAAAAAATTATTCAAATCATTTCAAATATGTTCATATAACATATATTTAATATATACGTATATTTGTGTAATAACAATCCATAATTTAAAAAATATATAGTTCAAATATATAGTATTTCTAATAAATCAAATTGTTGTATGATTGGTATAATTTTAATAAATTATAAATAAAATAAAAACGTACTTATATGTATTCATTAAAATTAGTTTTATATATTCTAAGAATAACTATATTAATAATGAGGTAATCAACTATATTAATAAAATGAGGTGCGTAATTTAAAAAAAAAAATTTTTTGTCAAAAATGCACGATCCAAGTTTAAATGCTAAATTTCTTTTTACTAATAAATAAAACGATAAGTAATTATTTTAAGGCAATCGACAAAAAAATTGATCTTATTTTATTAGACACAACTACAATATTTACCGTTAGTTTCTAATCTATTTCAAAACTGCATAAGACATAATATACTTTTCAGAAAATATTTTACAAATAAATATTTGATGGATCAATAAGAGCACGAAACGTCATATACTTATACAATAAGAGATTGTATGAAAATACGGAAAAATAAATGCAACAGTTATTTAATATATTCTCCATGAAACTATAATATGTATATTTCTAATAATATTGTAGTTATTACCAATATGATAAACGCAGATTCAAATTAACTGTCTAAAAAGATCATTCAGTTTTTGCAGAGTATGTAAATAAAAATATAATATATTCATTGCAAATTAAGAAAAGAAACGAATATTTTAATATTTTCTCATTATAAATTTATGTATGGTATCATATATATACAAAATTTAAAAAGTATATTAAAACAAAATGGAAAACCAAATTAGATACTTTACGAAAACTTAAAAATTAAGGAACTAAAGGCAATATTTAAAAATTAAGAATATAAACACAAATGCTTAAATAATATTAAATTAAGTTAGTGAAGATTTCAACAATATTCTAAATTCGTTTTATATTCTTCGTGCCAAGAAATAACAATTAGAAAATTTATCTATAGTTCATTTAAATATCATTGTGAATATTTCAGTCGATATTTATATTAAGCAAATGGTTGGACACGCAATATAAATTTAAATAACTCAATTACCAATACCAAATATTCTAATGCAGTATTTATAATGATATTATAAGTATATTGTGCATAAATAAAATAAAAATATTGTAATTAATTATTATTCCACTCAGAAGTATCGATAAATTATAAATTATAAATTAATAAATAAATTTATTTATTAATCCTTAATAAACTAGGATACTTTGAAGATTTAAAAATTATGTGAACTTTTGGAATAACAATAAATTACATTAAAAAAAAACATTGATTAAATATAAACACGAATTTTTAGTTAAAATTTTTTTTAAATAATTGAATTGAATATGACACCGTTAAACGCATTTTTTTATATTGTTTTACGGTTTATAATAAGTTAACGTTAAAAGCTTTGTCACTATCAATATACAATTTATTAACTTATGTAAATATATTTCATATTTAAATATTATTATAATCTATTTAAAATTGATAAGTATGATGTTTATAAATACTTTAAAGCAATCATTTTATAAAAAGACTTATATTTTAACTAAATAACTACAGCATAGGTGAGCATCGATTTAAAATTGTTTGAAAATTTGGATGATTTTAAATAACTGATTTGAAAAGTAATAGATTTTTCGAATTTTTAATAATAATTAAAATAACAATATAATTGTTTGTAAAAAAATTATAAAAAAAAAAAACAAATATAACTTTATATTAAATAGCTCTGTAATGTACGGCAGTTATTTTTTCTACTATTATTATAACTTGAATTTATTGGCTTGTATAATTTTTATAAAAAAAATTTCGATAAAATAAAATAAAAATAATATTGAAAAATAAAAAATCAAATTAATTTCAATGTTAATTTTTAAATTTTTATTTAAATGTATTAGCTTGAGAAAATAAAATGGCTAATGTGTATACAGCCATACAATTATTTATATATATAATTATATTTAATTACATAAACTTTATGTTAAGATTGCAAAATTGACTGTACAAATGCTTTTGATTGATTCATAATAATTAATTAAAAATAAATGCAGAGTTATTTTTTAATATTATTCATTAAATATATATGTAAAGTCATGTTTGGTCTGAATCTGAGATCGATTTATTCATTGTAAATATATTGATTAATTACAAAACATATACATATACTGTAAGCCTGTCTAGCTCTTACTCATACTATTTATATTTATTGTAATTACATGAAAAATATCATGGTTTTTACACTTGTGCATAAAGCAAAGGCAAAAGCGAAAATCTATTATACGTGTAAGTTATATAGAACATGATTGTTAATGTTGTGATATAATTTATTAACTAAGAACTTATTTCTAATTCAATGAATTTCTGATAATATTATACTATGTAATTTTTAATAATATTAAAACTTTATTTTGATAACAGAAATAAAAAATATGTTACCTGAATCATTTAATGAATCAGTATTGCTTTTATACGGGTTTTTAAACATTGTATTTCACTTAGTGTTTTCAAAGATTTTTTTATAATATTTTTTTGACTCTTGTTCATTATACGTTGTTTGTTGTGTTTTATGTAAGTGTTTTACCTATATTTTTGTTTGGTTTATGAACATAATTTATAATTGTTTGTACATTATTCCTAATTTCTTTATTCTAAGAAGTACGCAGTTCTTAACGAATTAAATAAATGAATGACATATTGTGTAATATTTAAAGTAATAAAGTTATATAATAATATAGTTCTCACAAAGCTATTTGCACTCAGTGAGAAACGTAATAGATGCATTTTGCATAATCGACAAAGTACAAATGTCGTCGTTTTACAATGTATTATATAGCAATAGAAGGTGCTGCATCAATGTCACTACTTCGGCGTCGAATATTAAACTACAGTTATAATACAGTTGAATACAATACTATAGACAATTTTTATAATTTCTTTAGTTATGGCGTAATAAAATTTTCTCAAGTTATTAAGCTTCTTAAGTTATTATGCTTCTTTTAATTTAGAATTTAATTCATATTAGAAAAAATACGATATGTACAAAATTGCATTTTATTTTAGCGTAAAACGAAAATTTGAAAACAACTGAATAATATAATTGTTTTAATTCGAAATGTATATATTTATGTTTCGTTATTAAATGAAAAACTCATTTTCGTATAAACAATATGAAAATTGTTGTTTTGTGTAATCATTTTTTTAAACATACTATTTTAAGACGAAAATATTAATAATCCACTTTAATAAAACGGTGTTGTTATAAACATATTTAGGTTCCTGGATTTACCAAATTGTATAGTATGAACGTGCTAACTAGATTATACGATTGCGGTCTGGAACGTTATAATAAACATAAAAATTAGTTGCTTTCAGTATACAATTAATAATACTTTTCTCTAAGTTTGTTTAAAAATTTCTGTAGTATTAATTATGTTAAAAAAATAAAATAATTAATGTTTTTTAATACGTAATTTCTATATTAATTAATCGAAGAAATAAAATTATATTAAAGAGACTTTGTCTAAAATAATACCAAAATATAAAAGTTATATATTTATATTTAGATAATTATGAAAGGTGAAGTAATAACAAAAATAGTATTTAAAAAATTTTGTGTTAGAAAAAAGTATATTTAAAAATGAATACAATAATAATATAATATTCTGAAGATATAATTCATAGAAAATTTTATGATTTTTTAAATAATGATATATTTACTTTGAAATATTATTTAAAAACTTGAGCAATAATTTCATTAAAAATACAAATTATGCATATTTAAAAATTTTTAAAATGACGTTCGAAAATTTTCAAAATTAACATTAAACAATTTTTTATTGAAAATTAAATTCAGAATAATCTTCTATTTGTTTTAAAAATGAATGTTATATCTGAAGAAATTAATACTTTAGACAATATTTCATAATAATAATAATAATAATAATAATAATAATAATATTTTAAAATATGAAAAGTGTATAAAAATAAATAATTTTATATTATGAAATATAGTGTTACCTAGAAATATGATTTATGATGGACAAAAAAACTGATTAATAATAATGAAACATTCTATTTAAGAATCTTTAAATTATTTAAATACATAACATTTTCCTAGTTTATTATTATTCTTTATATGAACATAAAATTATATTCCATCGACGAAAATTCTTTTTATAAGTAAAGTACAACTATATATACAATTTTATAATAAAATAAAGAAATCTTAGAAATAAATGTTATAGTTTCTTTCATACAAGCTATTTTCTATTTCAATTTTATTTGTTTGTAAAATTGTTATATATAAAATTACTTTGAATGATTTAACTATTTATTCACTTTAATTTTGAATTTTTTCATAATATTGTAACGATAATTTTCTATAATAGATGTTGTGAATTATTAATTCCATAGATTCATTAGTTCAAAGTGTATAGATTCAATAATATCACTAAAATTCAATAGAATTTTGAAATAATAATAATCAATACAAAGAATTTAGAGATCATGTATTGTAAATTATGAATTACAAAATGCTTAAACCATTTTAAATGATTAGTTATTGATATCGATATTTAACACTATTCAAAATTTTCGGTTGCTTTAATCTCCGATAAATTTTGAATAATGTTTAATATTTTTAAGAATGTAACGTTGTAATAATTATAGTCGCTATCCTTTTTTAAACAAGTCTATACTCAAACTACAAATTAGGTTAACAGTGTCAAGGTATGTACTGTAAAAAGACATCGTAGTTACATTTCTTGGGAAAGGTTAACTTATGTACTTTTGTATATTAAAACTCTTAGAAAGTGTAATAATTCATCATACGTTTGGGGTTATTATAGATAAAAAAGAATTTTGTATTTATATTAGTATAAATACATTTATTAATTGAATTTTTATTTTAATTATAGTGTTTTTTAAAATACATAAAATGATTGTAATTTATCAAAATGTTTAAATTACTCATCTCATCTCCACGGAGTATATTATATTTATTGACAAACTTTTGCCAATATACTAACTAGTAAAAGCCAGAATATTGGATTTAAAATTAGTAGAAATTATACAATCTTGTTTATATAATTATTTGCCTTAATTAATATAAATCTTTCTTAGGGATAGCTAGTACATTATTTTATATTCTTGAGATCATACTATTGCATAGGTAATAAATTAATATTTGTATTATTTGTGCGAAAATCTATATCTTTATCTATTTGAGTCTTTCTATTATTAAGAAATTATTCTGAAGAAAATAATTCAGTATGAATGTTTTATAAATATGAATTATCACATTAATCTATTCAAGGTATAAATTTTCATTTTTAGCGATAAAAGAAAAATGGCATGATTTCTGTAGATTTTATATTTCGTATCAATATTTTTACGTCCGTGTTTTTATCATAATAATTTTGGAATATAAATGTGTCTCAGTCCAAACATGAAATGTTTGTATATTTTCAATATACATCAATAATTTTTGTAATATATATGAGTGGGTGCCATTTAGTCTTGAAAGAATTTACGAAAAACCTGAAATATAATTATATGAATATAAAAGAGAGAAGAATTCGTTTCTTGAAAAGAGTTTTTTTGTGCTTTTTAGCTATAATTATTTAAAATAAAATCTTAAAAAATTCTTTTTTTTAAGTTACAATGAAATATAGTAAGTAAAACGTAGCCACAATTTAACATTGGTAATTTAATGATAAGAAAACTGATAAATCTTATTTTCCGGACATTACGTACAGTGTAAAAGAAGCCCTTTACTATTTTCTTTATTTTGATTTTCTTCCTATTTCATTAGTAGTTCTTTATTACGTCACAAGCCATTTAGTTCACCTCCCTTTCTCTTTCGTATATGCTACGCTCGATAATTTCAGCGCCATGTTTACTCAACATTCTCACTCTATCTCTTTCTCTCTTTCTCTTGCTCTTCTGCAGCATTCACAAATTTCAATTACACCAACTGATCGATATATGCACAATACAAATTTTCTCTCGGCTTCTTTCCGTCTCACTTCAATTCGCACATGATAAAAAGATGGAAAGGTACGTCAGTATATAGAAAAATAGAAAAAATAGAAAAATAGAAGACGAGTATAATCATCAACTATCTAATTTGCTAAAAAAGATTTCATTACGTTTTCTTATCCTTCTCTTAATTATTTATATTGTTATTAATCGAATTTTGAAAAAGAGTATCGTACAGAATTTATTACATTTTTTCTTTTTTTCCCTCATGTTTACGTAGACTTATTTTCCTCTTCTTTCTTCGCTTTTCTTCCATCTCATCCCGTATCAGTTTTATAGGCATAGCTATTTCTCAAAGTGTGAGTAACAAAGTGTAGGCACCATACTTGGTTCTGTCAATGTGTACGTGAGTGTCACACACTGCTCGTGTGTGAGCTTGTAAAAAGAGGCTCTTTGCTTTGCCTGGCGACGCTTGTAATTCACCTTTATGACGTCAAAGCACGTGCTCAATAACTTAGGTGTGAAATATTCTGGTAATATGTTTTATATATATATATATATATATATATGTATATAACGGGATAGAACATAAAAGAAAATATTACAGCTAGAGAGGCATGTACGGTGTCTATGCACAAAGTTAGAAGGAAGTGGTAAAAATACTTTAGCGATACTCGTATCTGCCAGTATGTTTATTGATACGATACACGAATATCACTAAATTTTATTCTTTTGAACACTGAATTGTTCGGTTATATATTGTATGAAAAATTTTAATTGTTTTGTTTGGATTAATACTAAATTTATCATTAAATATCTTTCAGACATTTATTAATATGCAAATATTTATAAATTTATATACGTATCATTTGTTTAATTATAAGTGATTATATAACTGTTACGTAGAGTTTCTGTTTACAAAATTTTCCTTCCTTACATTGTTGATTTTGCATTAAAAACAAGCTAGTTAACGATAGTCATTTATTCCATTTATCACGTAAGGGCAAGTAGATTAGATATGTTTCTATCATTACATTGTTTTAACAGCGATATTTTCAATTTTAGTTATATTTTATGCGAAAAATTACATTTGTAAAATATTTTTATTGGTAATTAAATACCGGATTTTTTCAAAAATAACCAAAGTTTGTATATTACCTCTAATATAATTTTTACTTAATTAAAGTAATATTCTGTTGAATTTAACGTAATAAAGTATTTAGCATTTTAAAAGCTAAATAATTCCTCATATAAACTGTTTAACGGCTCGTTATTCAACTTAGAATAATAATAGATATATTATTAATAATAATACGATCGTAGTAAATTTTTTAACAAAAGTTTTCACATTTGCCCGAAAAAAGCAACAAGGGCACGAGAAAATTTTATCGTCTATTGTGTTTAATCATAACAATAATTCATTTTACGTTTAGGTTGTCCAGCCAAAGAGCGATGAGCAACGACAACGGCTCAGTGAGAGCGTTCGAAGTATTTTCCTTTTCCGTTCCCTAGATAAGGTGAGCTCGAATAAAAATAAGCAACGAAAGAAAAAGAGTGTCACTTTTAGAATATCTGTTTGTACTACTAATTAAAAACTGCTCTTGATTTTCAGGAACAAATGGCGGGTGTGCTAGATGCAATGTTCGAGAAGACTGTTCAAGCTGGAGAATTTATTATACGGCAAGGTGACGACGGAGATAATTTTTACGTCATTGAGAAGTACGTATCTTCCGTAATAAACTTTTTATGGTGGTATCATGCAAGAGATTTCTGTTTGATGTCTGTTTTAATAAAATGACATTTCCAGAATGACGTAATTACAAAACGTAATAATATATATATTTATATATATATATATATATATATATTTTTTATAATAGGGTGTATTAGTGTTATAAGGCACACATTAAATGCCTAAAATTTTAATATTAAATGAAAAAAGAAATAAATAAAGAAAAAAGTGTTATCTGGGTAACGACGTCGTATCCGAAGCATGTAAATTATAATGAATTACGTTAAAACAAGAACGAAATTATGCAATTCTGTTATTTTGTTATCGCAGAGGTAAATACGAGGTGTACGTCAAAGACGTGATGATTCATACTTACGACAACAGCGGTGCTTTTGGCGAGTTGGCGCTTTTATATAATGTACCCAGGGCTGCTACTGTTAAGGCTATCAGTCCTGGTACATTATGGGCCATGGGTAGACAAACATTTCGGCGCATACTCTTAAAGTCTGCTTACAAGAAACGCAAAATGTACGAGGATCTCATTAACAAGGTCCCAATGCTCAAGTCGCTTGAGGTAATGTTTGTTTTTGTTAAATAAATTGACTTGTAATATTGGCTAAATAGGATCAGCCAGAAATAACGGCAAGAAAACGCATTTTACAGGTCGCAGAATAGCAAAATATTACTAAAATGTATTTTAAAAATAACTCTTGCTTTATTTGTTATCACTAGTATATATGCAGTTCTGAAATAATGTTTAGTATTTTTTCGATATATTTTAATACTTTTTTTATGTTTTCAATTTCAGCGAGGATAATTTATGCATAAAAAACAAATTATACATGGGTAACTTAACGTTTAAAAAAATTAATATTTAGTCACGTTGTTTGATGTAGTTTAAAATTATTTTTTCTTTGAAGCTTTTTAGCTGTTAATAGTAAATTAATTAATTCTGCATTTAATAAATTTTATATTACATAGTTATACAAATAATAGTTCAAAAATTAAATTGCTTTAAATGTGTATGATAAAATTTTACAATAAATTTTATAATACAAAAAATTAGCAGTAGCCTTTAATAAACGAGAAAATTTTAATAATGTAAAGGTTGTCAATAATATGCTTGATTAGAAAATAATTATTTGTTTTATATTATATAAGAAAAATATAACCTTTTGTACAAAATATTGACATAAGCTAAATGAATTTTTTGAAATTCCATAAATTTATTAAGATCACACAATTATAGTAATTATTTTTTTTACTAAATTGATATTTAATTATACGTATTATAATCTTGTAAATTCATCTTTTTATTTATATATACAATTTTTCATTATCGTTTCTTTAGACTTACGAGCGAATGAATTTAGCTGATGCCCTTGTTCCTAAGCACTTCTGTGATGGAGATCAAATTATTAAGCAGGGTGATATAGCTGATGGCATGTATTTTGTTGAACAAGGTTTAGTCAGAATTACCATCCTTGGTGAAAATGAGAGAGAAGTTGAAGTAAGCTTGAGTTTTGAATAACAATTATTTATAATTTTCACAATATGTATTTCAGTAATAGAGACAATTGTGTTGCTTAGGTAAATCGTATACCAGCTGGTGGTTATTTGGGTGAGCTGGCACTTGTTACACATAAGCCTCGAGCGGCTTCTGCATATGCTGTTGGAGTTGTAAAATTAGCTTGTAAGTTGCATTTTCCAATTAATTATATTCACTATTTTTTACATTGATTTTGTGATTGTATACTGATTTTAGATATATTTACTAATGAAATTGTATTTATTGCTATAATCGCACTAGAACATTTTTTTATTTTTTTGATTCAGTTATAGTGATAAATTCAATTTAGATATTTAGAATTATTTATTTAGTTAGAAATTAGTTATTAGATTATTTAGAAATGAAAAATCATTTTATAAACTGCACAAGATTATCGACGATTTTATATATTGGAATTGGAAAACAGTAGCTTAGTTAAAACAAAACGAAAAAGAAAAGAATTTGCAATAAAAAGAAAACAACTATCTATTTTCAGTCTTGGACGTTGAAGCATTCGAGCGTCTACTAGGCCCGTGTATGGAACTCATGAAGCGCAATATAGAAGATTACGAAGATCAACTAATTAAAATTTTTGGCAGCAAATCTGAAATATCTGATATTCGATGAATCTAGTGCTCGTATTATGACTCATATAATCGCTCTATCAAAACAATAAGATTCCATAGCGAAACACAAACTCTTACTGTCCGTTTGTGAAACTTCATCCATATACTTTTCAAGTCTTTTTATGATGAAGCTCGTATGACTGTCCTCTAGGCATTGTATCATTCGATCATTAGTAGTTGAACCATTTGCATCTACTATTAATTAATATTCAAATGTAGAAAAAAAATAATACCCAGTCTTTTACTACGTACATCATGAAAATATTTTTAAAGACTGTATTAGATTGGAAAGTATTACAGTTTTTGTAAGATCAAAACTTCGTACCACGGATATATACTTTTTTTTTTTTTTTTTTTTTTTTTTTTTTTTTTTTAAGTTATTAGTGCCATTGTCATTTTTGACTTATAATATCTTTGGCGTTACAATCGACATAATGCCATTGTAGAGAGAAACAAAAAAGAAAGGTAGATAAATGAGCAATTGTCTTTTAATTGAAGTCGGTGCTAAACTGTTCCACGCAGATACGTATAGCGAGCCGCTGGCAGAGTTTCGCTTATTTCGTATTAGAAAAGCCCAAAGGAACATTTGTTATTGAAAGTAAGATTTCTAAAGAAAAAAAAAAAGCGAAAATAAATTGCTTTGTATAAACTAAAGAAACCAAACTATTGAGTTTGTAGCAGGGCAAAATTAGTGATAGAGTACTGAACATATCACTTCCCTGCTTCACGTGATTTCTCCATTTTTCTCTATTTTGTTTATTCTATATCTTTCATATTCATTAATTCACTGTATCATTCATTGTAAGAATGCCCATTATATAATATCTTGAGTCGCGAGAAAACTGAAAACTTCTTACTTTAACAACTAGTCGTTAGCGATAACTTACAACTTCCCCTTTGAAAATATCTTTTATTCAGAACGTTATTTCGATCGAGTCTGTAAAATTCGAGATCACTGAAATAAATGGAATTGTTAAAATTTGCAGAAAAAACGATATAAACAATTTAAATCTTGTTCATAAAATGATTATTGTCACAAATAAACTAGGTAAAAATTTCGAATAGCATTTGACATTAAATTTTAAGAGAAAACGTTGACATTCCGATTTGGCGTATTTTGGACGATAAATAAAAGGGGGTAGGAATGTAGCACTATATTCACGTATACTATGTCATTATTGTGATTCAATGCTATTTTCTTCTATTTTCACTTATAATAATTTATTTTTTTATTTGTGCATAAAGTTAATATAAAATTCTTACTAAATTATAAAATAAAAATAAAATAAAAAAAAATTAAACTAAATTTAAGATGATATGCCCCTAACGATACCAGAATGTAATGTAGAGATCAGAATTATAAAGAGAGAAGTAGAGTTACCTATGAATGTCTCATTCTGGAAAATAAGAGTGTGTGTTTAGGTGTAGAGATTGGCGATCCAGGGATCACGTTGGATACTTTTACTGTATGGATTGGTATCTACAAAGGAAGTCGTAGATGGAAATTATGAGTTTGTCTTCTTTATTCATTGGAACATCATTTTTTTTTTTTTTTGTTATGTCGTTGCTCTACAACTGTTTAAGAAGACGTCGATTATTACGGTGATAAGCAGAATGATACGTACAATGAATATAGCGAAATTCTTGTTTTAAGAAACACCCTCATAATTATCACATTCAAATGTATTCGAATACGAATTATCATTCTTTCTATTCAGTGACCAGTTTTTTTTATATTTTCGAGTTTTTGCTCGTTATGTTCGTGATTTGTTCAGTAACCGATTTCGACAGCCTCGCAAGCAAGAATTTAATCAGGTATCGTTGGTGTCACTAATTAAACAAATACTAAACTCCTACTTAATGCATTATAAGATAATATCCCCAATACATTTATGCCAGGTATGATCAATGTCTTTAGATAAGTTGACGATCTTGTGACCCTTAGTTTTATTGACCTAATTATTGTAACAGCAGTGAGTTGTTCTATTCAACATATGTATGTCAGGTGCAAAGCCAATTTTAAATAGATTAATTGCTCTCCATGTTGCGAAAAGAAATCATTGAAGTCAAAGACACCTTGACTCATGTTTTAAGTGTTATTATTCCGAGTATTATTTTATTGGTCTTTTCGAGAGATCGTATCTAAAAAGCGTGGATCAAATTAATGTTAATTAATCGCTTACACGACTCTTTGTATTGCCTCATCGGCTAGTTGAGATACGATGGCTTGAATATCTAAAGTGCACAGTCACTTTTCAATTTTCAAATTGGACTACTTCGCGTAATATATATATATATATATAATTGCCGCATCTGATATCTACATTAACATCACACCCCGTAATACACGCAGGACATCGAAACACGCTTCGAAGAGCAGCGGGTATAGAAGAATGAGATACAATCTTTTTAACTTGTCCAATCCAGTAACTCCCTCTGAATTTACCTTAGCAAATTTCTCTTCCATCGTAACAAGAAACACGCTATACATAATACAATATAAAAATTGGGAATTTCATTGCCTATGCGTTACGGGTATTGAAGTGCAATTGCTTTTTATAATGTAGCATTTCAAATTACCGATCAAATATTTTAATTAAATATTCTTTTAAGATGCGTATGATCGACTTTGAGTAATTTGAGATCATCTTCTTGTCTCTTCTCTAGTCGTTTGTTGCGGAATTATTAGTTTTTTTTTCGCATTTCGTGGAGGCCACATTCTCTTTTGGTTTATTATCAGCCGACGTACCGTTTGCCTTGGGTTCATAAATCGAACTTTTAATAATAAATGCAACTTGTAATTCCCATAGAATAATCGTCGGCACAAGCAGTCTCCTATTCTTATCTTCGCCTTTGCAGATCATAAATGTAGTCTTTGTCTCGTTAAGTGGAATGGAGATAGATATTCTTAAATTTACTAAAAAATTTTAGGAGCTATCCGAGTGACGAATGAAGCAAGATCGTTTTAAGATTGATGGTTACGCATGTTAAATTTGTTGCTTTTATATTCTGAGATTGTACACGTTTGGTATTTGCCCGGGCGGAATTTAATTCCACTTCAATGCTTCCATAATACGGAAGTGGATCGAACAATGGTCTTGTTTACTCTACAATTACATGGAAGACTGGATGTGTAATTCGAGGTTAAGGATTTTACGCTGGTACTTATGTTGGCTCCTTTCATCTTAATTATTTGAACCTTTATTCTGATAATAAAACTTTAAGTATTTTTATTATGTACATTTGCTTTTTTAAAGAATATCCTGGGTGCGATTTAGGAAGATAATTTTATAGAAAATGATTATTTGCTCAACTTGCCTTGTAAAATAAATAAAGATGAAAAACAACGTGAATTCCTTTTACGCATCAAGTGTGGTTTAAAGTTAAGTTGTGTCTTTTAGATAAAAATGATATAACTATTTTATTGCATATCGAAAAATTAAAAAAAAAACAATTTAGTTTTTTTTTTTGTTTTTTGTTTTTTGTTTTTATTGTTAATTATATTAAATAAAAGCAAAGAGTTTATATACGGGAGGCTATATACGATTTAGTTGATATGAGAACAAAATGGAAGAAACGGAAAAGGGATTTGTTATTTGTCGAACCCTATTACGAGTTTGACGTTTTTAAAGATTTATATAAAGCAAAAGTGTGTGCACATTGCTACACCTAACATTGAGTGCCGAACTGGTAGAGCGTCTTGTATGTAGGCAAAACGCATTCGGATATCCACCTTTTTCGTTACCTTCTAAATAAACGTTTCTCGTTTATTTAAGCCTTAAGTCTACGTCATTTTTAAAATAATACTTACCGTATATATGTAATTAAACTTTTCACTTTCAAATTACAATTAAAAAAAAAAAAATATATACATATATATATATATATATATATATATATATATATAAGAAAAAAGAAAATTACTGTAATTGATTGAATAACATTTTTAATAATATTCAATATTCTATATAAAGAAAAGAAAGAGTCTATGTCTGAGAGGCATTATTATATTAGTTGAACGCGAAAAAAAATTAAAATGCATTTTGCATGATTGCGCGTCGCTTATGTAAAAATCGAGTCTGTCCACCTTTTTTTCTTCGTTGCAGGACGAGGACTTTTTAGGGAATTGTAGGACAATCATTTCCATTATATTGATCAACATAAACAAATTATCAAACAACTTTAATATTTTTTGGATACACAATTAAAGTCGCAATATTTATTTTCTTTTTTATTGTGAATGTCTTGGCTTTTAAAAGTCATAAGATTTTTTTTCACCAAATTAACACTTTTATATTTAAAATTATTTAAAATTAAATTAAAAAATGTATGAAACAATATATTGTACTGCCCACCGAGATTTGTCGTATTATCATGTGCCATGATTTATATTTTAACAAATTTAAAAGGCGCTTTTAAAACTGGATATTAATGTAATCATGGTACATGCACATTTCCGGTGTAAATGTATTTATTTTTTTTTTTTTTTTTTTTTTTTTTTTTTTTTTTTTTTTTTTTTTTTTTTTAATGTATTTATTCGCATATTTATTATATTAGTTATATTAATCTTAACGATTTTAAGCGTCCATACGCAACATACATGCATGGATAAAACACACGTACGCACGTATACACAAAATTCATACGTACATATGCATACATACGTGTATATGTATAAATGCATGATATACTTTTTTTTTTTAATTTTCCAAGATAATATTCTGCCAAACACATTACTTTCATATAACTATTTTATTATATTATAGATCGGTGTCTATTAAATAAAATATCTGAACCAAATGAGAAATAAAGAACTTCATTTTTAATTTTTAAAATATGCGGAAAAGCATAAAATGCCATGACTTGATTTTTAAGCTAAATTTTTTGTTATAGCTTGCGAATAAAAATTTACAATGAGTCTAAACATATTCAGGGGCGATTAAAATATGAGTAAATTAAAGAAGTTAACTTTAGCGCTTTTGTTTAAATTTGAAATAAGTAAATAATTGTTTTTAAGACGATTGCTTAAAAAACTTTGAGTAACGACAAGTCAATAGATGCAAAAACATGCAAGAAAATATAAAAAGAAATCCTAGTCATTTTTTATAGTGTAAATAAACTAGTGCTTTAACTTAAAAAAAAAAAAAGAAAGAAAGAAAGAAAAAAACGTACAAACTCGGACATGATTTACTTATAGCAACTTTAATTTCATTGCGAATAAAAGAGCAAAAACACTTCGATCATATGGCGCTATTCAACACTATAGTCTTAAAACTTAAGCGAAGCCTTGACCACTTCCGAATTTCAAAAGAGAAAAAAAAATTAAACCAATATATTATAAGAAGCGGAAGAACATAATAAAAAATAAAAAAAAAACAAACAATATTAAAGAAAGAAAAGTATGGTTATATTAAAGGAAAGAAACTTTATTTTTAAAACATAAGTATCTGGCTACGTAAGAAAATTATAATTGCGAATGTTTGCAAAAACCTTGAAAAAGTGCATATTGTATGTATAACTGTAAAATTCTTTTAACAAAAACTAAAAAGAAAAAAGGAAAAAATTAATTGCCGTGGATAAACATGTGTGAACAAATAAAAAATTTATGTTATATATCGTGGTATAAGAATGACTGTAATTCCTTATTCCTTCTGCTATACATATAATATATACATTTCGTATTGTTGGTCGCATTTATGTACAAAATTTGACTATATTCGGTAAATCCTCAGTGTAACAAAGAAAACAAGAGAGAGAGGGTATATCTTAATATTACTAGTACACATCCATGTGAATATCATCCTTACCAACAAATACCTCTTTCTTCTTTTATTATATGTTTTTCCATGCATTTATCATTTAATGATGCTATTGTTTTTTTAGCATAATAGCCTATTATATGTAGACATACAAATTCCTGAATGCGGATTTACATTGTGAAAAATATATTTATAAATAAAAATCGTCACGTAATTTCTTAAAGTACCTTTCTACGGATTTTTCATGTCATTTGATATGCTATGCAGGGATATTTTTATATATATTTTTCATATTTAGTTGTTGTAAAAATACAGCAGTATTTCTGTGCAATGATCGGTTTATTATAGAAATTTAAAAATCCTAGTAAATTAATTTACAAGTTTTTTATTTATTGTATCGTTTGATAGATAGGTAACGATATTTTAAATTCCTATAAATGCCATTTTATTTATACTATGCTTAAAGCTTATGAGATGGGTGAGAGTGTTTTATATATGTAATTACTTCTCATAATTTAAGAATTACGTTTCTTTTTAAATCATTGTTATATGATTTTATCTTTTTTATTATACTTGCCTTATAATGCGAGATTGGATTTTAAATATTCATAATGGGCAAAAGATCTAATTTTTTTTAATAGAAATAACTGCACAGTGGAATTTTTCTATAAAATAAACAATAAAAGTATAAATAAATTTTAAAAGAATGTATCATTGCATATATTTAAAAATCGCCAGAGAGAAAGATAATTGTGATCTATTTATAATGCGTGTTCTAATCTATTGTTGAGTGAAAGAAAAAGGATTTCATATATCGCGTCTCAAGGAATCAGCAATTAAAGTAAAGCATCAACAGTGAGCCAAATTTGAGAAATTCATCATGGGAAAAAGTCTAAGATTTCAGCGAATAAGACTATCAGATTTGTAATACAAGCGTCCTAATACAAATTTTAAACTGAATTAAACAAAAATATTTATAAATCCATTAGGAATTTATATTATTGTTTTTTAATTCCTAAATGAACAAATGGTATTAATATATATCAGAATATGGATAAAACGTTTTCTCTCAGTTTTTCTAAAATTCATATCTATCTTGAAAATAAAATTATATATAAATTATAAACACAAAAAAGTATAACCATTGATATATAAATAATTTATAATATTTAATATACATGTATCTGTTCATATATAACTTTTGGGTATACAATATATGTAATGACATACTTACAACTCCACATAATTATAGGTATTTATGCAAAGATAAATGTTTACATATAATTTATGAAATATTCATGTGTAACCAAGTATTAAAAAAAAATTCCATTTGAATATATATATATATATATATATATATATATATATAATTTATATATAATTTTTTTTATTACAAGAGCGATGCAAAAAATTATATAACTAAGAATTCGCAGATCATTATGATTGATGAAATCACATTTAGCTATAAAACAGGAGATGTGATAAATATAAATTCGATGCTTTCATTTAGTTAGCATAAAATTATCCCGTATCCCAAACAAGTGTTCTTTACGATTAATTAATTGTCATTATCTCATAAATGTGACAAAATTATTTAATAATAAATTGGTAGAAATATTTTACGGATATACATGTGCAAGCGCTCAGATAAATATAAACGAAAAACGATAAAAAATCGTACGAGGATAATATTAATGAATGCATGGTTAATATTGTGCGATTATTACGTTATTAAGTTTATCAATCGAATAAATAACAAAAATAAAAAATTTAAGCTCGGACACTAACATCATAAAATATAAATTTAATATATATATATATATATATATATATATATATATATATATATAATGCTCAGTAATGATTACTTATGCAGGATCCATGTCAGTAAGCTTATTTTCATTCGTTCATAGGTTACAATATTTAGGCTCGTCACAACAATCGATCACGCAGATTTTGGACAATAGATATATTAATATAAATTGCATCTTACAAATGATTGAGAAGTGCAATCGTATTAACTCCTTAATTGTTCAGTTCCTCGTGGGGAAAAAAACCGATTATAGAAATGCAAATAATTCGTCCAAAATAGTCTCTCAATATCAATTAATTATATTTACACGAACAATTTAAAAAAATACCATCACGACTAGTTTTAATTTGAACTTAAAAATGAGAATACCGAATGAGCTCATTTACTTCAGGAAAAATAGCGTATTTTCAGCTGAAATTTTGATTTTTGTGACATTTTTGTGTTTTATTAATAATTTGTTATATATTATTTTCTAAGAATAAGAATTTTTAAAATGTGTTTTTAACGAACATTTGGTAGTAAATACGTATTCATTTTTCTAATTTAAGAAAAATTGTAATGTAGTTTCGCCTCGTGTAATGCAATGCAGTGCGTTGCTACTTATAAAAATATGAAACTACACGCATATTACTGCCAATTGTCAATACCACATTCAGTAAAAATCGACTCAGTCTTATTAATCATTATGTATGCATAATGTGTAGTAGTATAAGTTCTTATTGCTTCATAAATATTTTTAACTCATCCTATTTTATAAAAATGAAATGCTAAAATTGTAAAAGATGCTAATAATATGACTAATTCGAAGTATTTTTGTTATTATAGTTTTTTGAATTAAATTATAAAAAGTACCTAGATACTTGAATTCTACTGTTTAATATGAATATCTTTTTTTCAGGTCTAAAGCAAATAATTTGTTTATTAATCATTTATGATAAATTATATTTTATGAATGATCTTCGAAGAAATTTTAATAATGCAATCATTACTTTTTAATAATTTTATGAGTAAATTATAAAATACATATATTGGATATATATTTTTAATTAAAATTGATTCGATATAATTAAATTATCTTTGAATATTTTAGTTCAATGTACACAATAAAATTAAAAAAAAAATTCAAATATATATTAAATGAATACGTTAAATATAAGTCAATGTATAATAATGGTAATAATTTTAGTCATATTATTTGCATTTACATGTAGGTAATAAAATTGATAGAATAATTGTTTGTTTGAGTGATTGCTCATATATATATATATATATATATATATATATATATATATAAATACATAAAGTATAAAATTTTATTGACGAGTGAGTGATATCAGAGATAAAAGAGAGTCGAAACATCTGAAAACTTAAGTATTGTATACCTAAGTACTTAAATAGTCTTTCATTTTATCAGAATGGTTTTTCATTATCGATAACGTATTAAAAATAATATCACTTGCAAAAAATACGACTTAGATAATAAGTAAACTATATTGTAACGCGGCTCGACGATGCAGCTGGTCTGATATCGAGTATCACCATATCGTTTATTAATTGAAGGGAGTGTTACATTAGCGTTAATTCTCATCTTCCTCCCTTTCTAACTTAAAACCTTCTTTCTAAAATGATTCGAATTCACGTGGATAATGATGAAAAAAGTAAATATATAAATATATAAATAAAAACTTATCTACGAAGAGTAAGATTCATATTTTATGTTTATTGTGTAGGTTCTTTGACTGTTTGTGAAAGCAAGTATAATTGCTAATCACTCATGATAAATTAACTTCATCGCTACTCGAATAGGCTCAATAACAACATAATAATAGCGTAATACAAGTAAGCTCGCTTCTGATTTTTTGCCTCAACCTACTGCTTTTCAAATGATGGATTATTCATTTAATCGCCAACATATTTATTTTTAACTTAATAATGTATCTTCATAAAAATTCGAACGCATTTCACAACAGAAGCTGCGACCTTATTCGAGAAGCGACTAATAATGAAAAAATATATACATAATATAATTAGATAGTGTAATAAAAATTAATATATAATAAATGAATGGACCCTAAAAATATTTATTGTTTAATATTGTTTATTTTGATATTATTTACAGCTGTGTTAATAAATTGCCTATATCGTGTACGAATATTTTTCTTATTTAATTACTTTAGCTTGGTACTGATCCAACACCATAAGAGGAATGGTGTTTGTGATAACGGTTTTTGGAATACCAGCATACTTTATAAACAGTTCTAAAAAGTGCACCCCAGTTATTATCTCCATTTCAAATTCATTGCTCATTTTTGTACTGTAATAAATAAAACATAATTGTTAATTAATGTTGTTTATGGCATAAATAACTTTGATTCGCTTTTTAACCTGTCTGATATCACGAATGATAAGACGTATTCGGTAATATGCGTGACATATTCATTTAACTGCAATATACCAAACTGCTTCAGTACTGACTGAACACCCAAGATAAATATAACAGCATCTATTGGATCTTGAATTTTTTTACTTAATAGACTAGCTAAAAGTTATAATAAAATAAAATTCCAATTTTATGAATTTATGAATATACACCAGTATTCAAATTGGGTTTACTTACCAGTATTTTTACAAAAGTACAATTTATGAAGTTGCGGCACGGAAAAAAGAAATATCACAAAATCTATATTTTTAATATCTGGCGGTTGTACATAAATTTTGTTATTTACATCCGTAATACCGGCCCATTCTAATCTAATTCGTAAATCATTTAAGAACTCTGAATTTTCCCATTCCACTTTCCTTTCTTGAATTTCAAAAAGAATGGCACTAAAAAATAAGACATTAATATTTTGAAAAGTTCAATTTTTTATTTTGAAATGCATAGAGCTTTTACTTATTTAATGTTCGAAGGGCGGATTCCATATGCTTTGCTTCAAATTTACAAGCAGTATTAAGTTCATAAGCTATTTTTTGCTTTAAAATTTGTAGATGACCAACTTTCAATACTGAATCCAACAGTGACGACCAAGCTTTATTAACTAAGGTATTAACAGTTGTTAAAAACTTTCCTCTATTGTCTATTAGAAAAGCATATAAAAATTATAAGTTATTTGTTTTAATTATTATATAAATCTAGCGATAAATAATTGAATTACGTTTTAAATTTTCTCCATTTTGAAATAAAGTTTCGCATTCTTTTAGAGCAACTGCCCAGCTTTTATTCTTAATGCCTTTATCGATAAATTTAGTAATTTTTTCCATTTCAACCGCAACTAAATGAGATATCATTTTGTCCAATCCTGAGAGTCCAGGGACACCTATTGCTTGTAAAATCATTGTGAATGCTTTGTGAGTTAAAACTTCAGTTTGAGTTTTTAGATCGAACCAAGCCAGTGCATGTTCTATATAAATGGTTGTTCTGAAAGTTAGTTGCATATAAGATTAAATTGAATAATGGTATTTACAGTAAAAAAATTTCATTTAAATTATTTACTTAGGATCTGTTATACGCATTATTTCTCTAGCAAGTCGTCCCATAAATGTTAGAGAATTTGAATCTGTTGGAGCTAAATGAGCGTTTATTTTGTCCTCAGGTAAATACGTCCACATTTTTCCTGGTGTCCATGAAGATCCTCTGCATTCTTCTTCAACAGCGTTATTTATTATATACGTAATCTAAGGAAAATATATAAACTATTAAAATTTACTAAAATTTATTGAAATATTTAATATAAGCAAATTTATTATATTGATAAATTTATTTTACATACTTCTTCGTGCCAGACTTTTAAACTATTGATATTTATATAATCTTGAATATATTGAAAGGATTTTCTATATCCGTCCATAACTATTGATAGTTCTTGTAATTTGTTCATTAGCATACTCTGAAATATATTTCTATTAAATTCCATAAATTATTTATATTTAATATATAACTTTATTTATAGTAATATAACCTTAGATTTTCCGTCAAAAATGAGACTATTATGTAAAGCCAGAGTTACTTTCTTTACAAGTTCCTGTCGAATTCCATCTTCTAAAAGTCTATGGGAATCAACGCGTAAAATTCCTAATGAAACGCTTCTTAAAGATAACATACCATTTGTAACAACAGAAACTGAATAAGTTAATTCTGCCATCTGAAAATTGTATTTATATTTTTAAAAGATTTATATATTATGCATGTAATTTATTTATTTTACTTTTAGTCTCTCGTTCAACTGTGCATAATCTTTAATTTTATCTTTGTATAATTTAGTTGGTATTTCATTAAAAATGTTTGTTTCAAGATAAACAATATCAGCCAGTATCGCAAAAACTGATTCAGGAATTATTTGTAAAACGCGTCTAGCGTAACTTTCTAATTCTCTACTGTAATATTGCGATACAGAAGCTAAGTCTGCACTCCGAGCTTGATTAATTCGTAATAGAGGCATTTCCAGAGCTGAAGCCATCTAAAATATGACAATCTAATTAATTATTAATATTCAATTTCCATTAAATTAGGCTGAAAAAATTTACTTTTAAAAATAAAGCTTTTAGCTGAATTACTGTGGCAGGATTTTGTTTTATAAGATCTTGCATTGTTGGAACAAAAGTCTCCATTATGTTCCAAGCATAACAACAATCCGTGACAATATTTAATGCAATCATTGTATCTTCGGTCATTGAACTTGATCTTAACATATCGTGCAAAATTTGTCGTGTTTCTTTTAAGTGCTGTGATATTTGCAAATTGCTTTCTAATTGATGGAATTCTAATGTTGACGATATAAACATTGTTTTTATTTTATGATCTATGAATATCAAATAGTACATATTTTTACAAATCTTTACCTTGTACTTCTTCTAAAGCTTGTAATAACTGCATAATTTTTTTCCCATCATCTTCAATTAATGATTCAATATGTTTACTAATTTCTTTAAACCAAGCTTCAAGCGTTTCATTTTCTTCTATATCATCCAATCGTTTATTTCCATTAAAAGCATCTGATAATTTATTGATGCGTTGTATGCATTTTTCTTTATTTTTGATCCACTTATTTTCCTTATCTTGTAATAACTAAAAGGTTTTAAACAATTGAATAAAATACAAAAATGTTAACATATATATTTATACATATGTTTAATTGTGCATATGTACATATGAATTACCTGCTTGTATAGTTGTTTCATATTATCTTCAATTTGTGCTGTACTTAATAATAAACGTAATGTATCATTTGCAGAATATTTACTCTCCTGTAGTACTATTTGTTTAAGATTTCTCGAACGCTTCAAGTCTTCTGTGAGAATTGTTGGAGTAGCAGTGTGTAAAAGTAACCAATGTAACGTAACATTGCACTCTCTAATAAATTTTATTACTGATCCTATTGCGCTTTCATCCAAAGATAAAGACATTTGTATTTCTTTAGTTTTCTTAAGATTTTTCTATAAAATGCAATAATCATAGATATTGTAAGATATAATAAAGTTTTTATTATAATATAATTATTGGTTTATTAACATAAATTATTAAGGAATTGAAATTCTATTTATAACTATATCAAAATTTGTTTTATAAATGTTTTAATGTATATAAAATATATAAATCATTTGTAAATAAACATATTCGAATTCATATTAATAAAAAATATTTTAAATTTAAAAATGACCAACTAATACAATATTTTTAATTTCAGTTTTTTTATAATACATACATTTTTTGAAAATATATTGTACTTACTTCCATTTGTTGACCATATTTTTGAGCGATTCTTTTAATGTTTGCATTTTCTAAAGTATTATTTAAAGCAGTTTTGGCAGCTTTATATGGACTCCACCAATCCCATAAATCAATGACTATACCCATATATACACTTATGACCCAAGAATCGGGAAAAAATCTATCTACAACTTCCCTCATTACTGCTGACTGCGTATGCAATATTGATGGGCTAAACGATAAAATTATAACTAACATAGATGCTTGATTTGCTAATGCTATACTTCTATGGTCAGGATGTGGGAATGCATTAGTCTGATTATAAATTTCATCAGTACGTAGGCGAGCTATAGCAAGATCAATCAGTGATTCATTAATCGGTACTCTCCTAAAAATGAGAAACATTTGTATGCATTACATAACATAACAAATGCATTTAATTTATAAAATGAAGTTTAATTTATTAAATATCTTAAATAAGTGTCTTTTTCTTTAGCTATTTTTTTTAATTATTTATTTGAAATATTAAAAATACTTGACTATAATATAAAAATATTTGGATCATACACAATTTAATGTCTTTTAAATCACTTAAATCTTTTAAATACAAATTTCAAATTCAAAATTTAATAGACTATTATATACAAGTTAGTACTTCTGTAATCAGCTAAATTTTAAAAATTATTGTAATACTGACTGAAAATATGCTTCAGGATAATTTTGAGGTCGTTTAAACGATCCTTTAATAAATCCAGTAGATCGAAGTAACATACATACATCATCTACTCTTGTAGAAGATGCTCTTTGTGCATTGTATCTATAATAAGATACTAATAAACGTTCTCGAATTCGACCATCAAAGTAACAATCAGCAATTAATAACATGATGCCATAAAGATAAATAGCTTCACACTAAAATAAAAATTTAAATACATAAAATAAAATAATTAATGATTAAAAGAAAATAAATAATTTTGAATTGAAATATTTAACAATTAATTGTTTTCCTTCTTCATTTAGCATTAGTGATTCCGTAGATTGTTGAATATAAGTTTCATCTTCCAACTCATCAATATAACTGTTAAGATCTGTTACATATTTATGAATACTTTCGAATCCTAAGTAAAATCTTGATAATATTTCAGAATAATTATCACGTAGTTTTTCATCTAATTCTTGAAGCACCTTAATATTAAATTATTCTTATTGTCGTTATTATATACATATACATATATTCTTAAAATAATTCATCGTAAAATATTATGAATACATACAGCGTCATTTTCAATCTTTTGTTCATAAGAATTTGCTGCTTTAAAATAAACAAAATCTGTTATTATTGCACTATATTTTTGTACATAATGTTTTGAATCCAATCTACAATAAATTAAAAAATAAATTAATTAATTTAATATATTTTTATTAGATATAATTTATTATAAAATATTAATAAATATTTTAAACTTTTGCGAGAGAAAAATTAAAATAAATGATTAGTTTATTTTCATAAACAGAATAATAACAATAACCTATAAACTGGAGGAATATAATCTTTTAATCGCATTAGTTCTGCTATAATAGCATTTCCTCTGGCAACAAGCCGGAGCAAATTTTGCCCACAAGCGTTACCCATTGTTAAAAAATCTGCCATCATTTTACAAAAATTAACTTTTTAAACAATCAATGAAACAGAAACATTTTACATTTTTCTTCAACAACAATTCGTCTTCCCTCAGTTCTATTCGATCGCTAATAGATTGCGATACTCTCAAAACTTCTACAATTTGTTTCTTGCTATGATTACCCCGTTTATACGTAGAGACGTATAAAATCGAATAGTACGGTGTAAAAAACTTTATGTAGATTACAGGGATTTCCTCAAGGTTTTCTATAATCGCAGATAGTAACCATAAAATGCATGTCTACAGATAATGTGTATATAGAATAAGTATTTTTGAATTATCAGATATTTTAATAGAACAAATTATTTCTAAATGCGATAAAACTCATTGTATTTATAATTAAGCTGTATAAATAAATTAAATAATATTACGTGATAAAAGTTTATTAATTTACGTATGCACTTGTGCAGAAAATATGTTATCTACCTTTATAAATTATATATAATAATTTAACCATTAAATTTAATTAACTAAATAAATTTTAATATTATTCTATAAAGTGATAAGTATATTTTTGAAAATATCAAAATTTCATCAAATACTTTGTATTGTAAATCAGAGGTTTCTCCATATAAATACGAAACTATGTATATATGTATATATATGTATATATATATATATATATATATATATATATATATATTCTATTATGAGGTGCATAAATTTCTTTAAATTTATAATCTGATGTTATAATATTATTTGAATTATTTGAATTACAATTTCAATAAGATTAGATTTCATACATCTTTAAAATTATTAAATAAATCTTAATAATATTAAAAGTTAATAAGGGATCGCAATAAAAATATTTTCCAATTTTGAAACTCAAACTTTTGACTTTTGAAAATTTACACTAGTTATTATAGAAAACCTTAAGAAATTTATATTATTTTATGGATTTTCGTCATATGCGTAAAATACATATTTTTTGACATTAGCGAGTTTATGATCGCACTTATATTATGACGTAGATATTTTAATGAAGTATTAATTTTTTTAATTTCATAAATTTCAACTTATAAAATGGACAGATCTCATTAATAATTGATTAAAAATACTACCAACTAACTTTCGTTTGGAGATGTGTTATTTTTAAAAATTTACACTCAAAAGCAATGGAATATGTGCATATACGTATGCGTAAGTAGCATTGGAATACAATAGATTTCTATTTAACAATACTGTATTACAGCACATGAATATAATTATATGTAAATCTCATTTTCTATCATTAAAAAATAGATTTTCTTATTTGAACATTCTGAATTGAAAGAAGAAAAATAAGATGAAATTATAATATAAATGATAAAAGCTTTTAAACGTTACTTTAAACGTAATTGTATTTTAAATAGATAAAAACGCGAATAAAAAATAATGTAAAAAATAATAATGATACGATTAAAAATAATTCAAATTAAAACAATAATGCTTTCTATTTATTCGGTATTGCGATAGAACGACCAATTGGAATTTTTTACCTAATCGAATGAACGCCCTCTGCATAGTGTCACGTAACTATAAAGGAATTAATTTTTACAAAATCATCGAATTACAATGTGAAAATAGATAATACAGGATTAGCCCACAATGGAGGTGCATGATTAATAAATGGAAATTAAATAAGCCGTAATTTTTGCACACATTTTCATAATAATTGCTTAGGTAAAAGCCGTGTCATGAAAATATCCCTATACGAGTGTCGAGGTCAACCAGCGGATCGTAAAGACTCGCCTTTTGAGTATCCGCCATTTTTACGCGACACTCGTCGTGAAACTGTGTCGGTTCTCTCGTTCTTTCAATTTTCTTTGGGTTCTCGCTTTCGTTTTGACGAGAAAATTTGCGCAGGTGGCTATGCAAAATTGCAGATGCGCGAGTGTTACCGGGTAATACAGCGAGTGAGAAAGTAGCCATGAGTTCGAGCTCTGTAGAAAGACGAAATACCACGAAATAACAAAACTCTTGGCTGTGCCATTGGGGATACGCGCCATCTGGACAGTACCACACCGAAGAAATTATGGAGGTAAATATCATATTGAACAATTATAGTAATAGATTTACTGAAAATTTAAATTTTTATATTTACTTGTATACGTCATGGTCATTGATGATAGCCGCGGATTTATTTTGCAGGTACCCAACACTCTTCTTTTAGATGACGTTCGATAATGCTCTTCCACTGCGGTTGTTAATGTAAATTTGAGGTTGGGCAGAATATGAATATTAGTAATTCTGTCTTCATAAATATTGAGAGCAACAACGGTACTGAGGATGTAGCAAATAAGTTTATGAATTTTGATAAATGAAGAAACCCAGTCGGAGACTCGGTAAAGTCAAAGTGCAGTCAATACTTTGAGCACAAATTTCATTCATGAAGGACCAAAAATGGCATCGAGTTTTAAGGATTCAAGAATAGTTGATACATCAACTAATTGTATAAATCTAACTAATAAACTTAATAAGAATTCTGATTTAAAAACTATGAAGTCCATTATTGATGAATCTTACGAAGGAAATTATGGTATATACTTTTTTTTACAAATGAAAATATCGTTTATAAATTTTTTTATACAATTTTTGTAATATTTTCAACATAGTTCAAGCTATTTAATATGAGCTAAATACTTTTTGCTTATCAATATTTATTTTATATACAAGTAGTTTAAATATCAATGGATTGTCACATTTATATAACATTTTTATCAAAGAAAAAATACCTAATATTTTTAATAATCATTAATTAGCTTAGAAATATTATATTTTAATATATTATTTTACAATAAAATAAATGCAATTCAAGAATTAAGAAAGAACTTGCTTAGACATTCAGTTAAGTGATTTAAATTTAATTTACATGGTTACAGAAATTAGATAATTATAATGTTTATTCTTGTTGATAGGAATATTGAATAGTAATTTATAAAAATATTACATATTAATTTAAAATTTCGTTTATGGGAATATGACCGGTGTCGTTTAAAATTAATAAGAAATTTAATTTTATACGCGCTTTAATTATAAACTAAGTTTCACTTAGATTATTTAAGTACACGACGATATTGAGAGATAAATAAAATAAATTTTTTAAATATTTCAATATTTTTCAATATAAGGTTTTTGCTTTCAGATACACATATTTCATCAATGGAAATTTTGAAACAAATTAAATTATTAGATAATGTAGATCATAATTATAGTGATCCATTGTTAGCAAAAACTGAGAGCCTTGAAAACATTGCTAATATTAGTTCTAAAAGTAATATTATATATTCAAAAGTAACTCATGGAGGAAAAGATAAATATATCGGATTAAAAATAACAAATATAAATGATCTTAAAAAAGCAACTCCTCGTCTTAAGTTACCAGCAATATTGTCATCGACAGCTGTTAAAAAAAGTCCTCCAGTACCTGCCGAAATTAAAGAAAAATTGTACAAATATTGTCGTACTTGCGCGGGACTGAAAGTTCCGTTAGTTGATATATTTAGTGAAAAAGGAATTCAAATGAGACTTAGTCAACAAATACAGCACTTAGAAGACATCGATAAAGATGATAGCTTATCGACTCAAATGTGTATGGACTGTATTTGCGATTTGAAAATGAGTTATAAATTTTTTATGCAAATAAAGAAAGCTGAAATGAAATTAAAATCAATTTGTAACTCATTCAATGATTCTATATTTAAATCAATTCAAATAAATACAGACAATGATTCTATAGAAACAATTGATTCAAAACCTATTGTTTTAAGCGATGAATCAATAACAAAAGTGGATAATGATGTAGAATGTAAAGATATTAAAAATGAACTAGGAGATTATTCTTTTAGTAGAAATAATGAAAGCATTAACGATGAAAACGAATCTATTGAAGAATTTGATCCTGATAATCCTTATGATCCAAATGAAAATGAAACGATTAAAAGTATAGATTCTGAAATTTGTAGTGCTGATATCATGGATGAGAACAAAACGACTGCCTATAGATACGATGAATCATTAAATGCCTATGTTAAGATTGATAATGTTGATAAAGATGAAGTAATAATAAGTAATGAAGAAAAAGTTAAACCAGAATATAATAATGTTAAAACAGAGCCTATTATTTCGGGATCTTCAAATCAACATCCAAAAATGCCCAACATATTAAAAAGAAAATCTGTTGGAAATACAAGTGATGAAAGTATCGATAATATTAGTAAAATAAATTTTCAAAAATTAAATATTGGTTTAAAGGATTTAAAAATTCCAAGATTAAATCTTCAAGATACTGTGAACATAAAGACAGAAGAAAATGGTATTATGTACGTTACAGCTAAAGGCTCAAAACCTAATGAGATGCTCTTAATAAAAGTAAAAAGGATGAGTAAATTAGTAGAAAAAAAAAGTGACAAAACTCAAAGTAAAAGGAAATCAGATTCAAGTATTGTGCACAAGATATTTCCTAAATATGATAGCCATAGTGAAAAGGGTAATTATATTGATGAGCAAATAGAGCAGTACAAAAAGAGAAGGGTTGAAGTTTTAGGACAAACTGCTAATGTTTCAGAAATAAATGTTATGGAAAAGGAATCAGATATTAGAATTCCAACTAACAATAATGCAGCTGATCTAGAAATTGTTGATTCAGAAGAGCAGGGACAAATTGATGAAGTAGAAGAAATTAAGAAGGATGACATTGATAATATTTCACAAGTGCTTAAAGAGATGCCAGCTATTGCTCCGCAATATGCATCACGCTTGGAAAAATTGAAGCAACGATGGAAAGATATTAAAAAACGACATGATGCAATCAATAAAGATTTAGCAGAAGATTGCACCGATAGGTTGAGGACAATTTTAAGGCAGAAAGATGAGTATTTATTAGATTTTATTAATTATTTAAAACAGCGTAAAATCGTGGCATCGCGTTTAAAAGATGAAGACATTATTTCATTATATGAAGTAAAAAATAATGTAATTTTGGAAAGATTACCATTAATTACTACTACTGATGTAGAAGATAACGTCGACCCTTTTGAATTAAAAGAAGACTACCAATGTGACTTTTGCGACCAGTCTTTTCCAAATAGAGAAATGGAATATGAACACGCGAAAATTCACGACTTTAAATTAATGCATTACTGTGAAGATTGTAAAAATGAATTTTTTACACATAAGGCAAAGCGTGCTCATAATATTAAATGTGTACAAAAATTTTTGTGCAATTATTGTGATATGATTTTAGTATCAAAAGGTAAAAAACGCCAGCACGAGCAGAAGCACTGTGATGAAATGAACGGCCAACTTTGCGATTTGTGCGGGGAAAAATTTAAGCACCAAGGGACTTTAGATCAACATGTAAAGTCTCGACATATGCAGCTTGAAAAGATTTACAAATGTCCGCAGTGTACAAAGAGATTTGCTTTTAGGACAAAGTTAACCTTTCACTTAAAATCCGTACACACAACTAGCCGAGCTTTTCTATGCGAGGATTGTGGATCTGATTTTAAAAATCCCGCTAGTTTGAGGCATCATAGAATTCGAAAACATCAATCAGTAAATAATAAAAAAGAGTGTAACATCTGTCATAAATTGGTTCCAGTTTATAGCATGTCAAAACATATGCACACGCATAAAGCGTATACTATTGAATGTCCTCATTGCGATAAAATGTTCAAGAATACGTCGACCCTGAAGCAACACATAAGAATCCACGAGGATCAGCGACAATATAAATGTGACCTGTGCGGCGTTGGATTTAATAGACGCGACGGCCTGAGATTGCATTTGAAAGTTCACGAGAAAACCGACAGCAGGGGACTAAAGGAATGCTCGTGTCAGGTTTGCGGTGAGAAGTTTCCAAATCACTCGATGCTTGTGATTCATAGGAACCGCACTCATAAGGACGGTAGGAACTACACTTGTCACATATGCAACAGGTCCATGATCTCTACTCGATCGTTGGAATGGCACTTGTCGCATATACATAACGAAAGAATGCCGGGTATCGTGAAGGATGATTCAAGCATCGACGCCGAGACTAAGCGAGTCTCTTGCTACCATTGCGACAAGACATTTAAGACCGAAATGATACTGCGAACTCACGTGAAAAATACTCATGTACAGAAGGAGCCCGTGAAATGTCTGGATTGCGACTTAATGTTTACGTCTGAGGTGCGTTTGAAGCACCACATGATGATAACACACAATCGTTTGGAGGGTACCTTGGCTTGCCCACATTGTCCTAAACGATTTGTCAATCAGTTAAGATTGAAAACACATATGATTTCTCATTCTGATGAGAGACCGCACAGTTGTGACCTTTGCGGTTTTATGTTGAAGACAAAGATACAGCTGATTAAGCACAAGCAAAATAGACATAGTAATGAAAGACCGCTTCAATGCAAATATTGCTCGTGGAGATGTAAGCAAGTCAGTGCGTTGGTTTGCCACGAAAGAACTCACACGAATGAGAGGCCTTACAGTTGCAGTGTCTGCAAACAGAAATTCAAATACTTGGGTGATAAGAATAAGCATGAAAGACGACACGAGAGTCTGGGTGGTTCTGGATTTAAAAGAATCGTTACTGGAAGGAATACCAATAAAATTAATCGAAAGAAAGAGGAAGATTCACCGGACCAGGATTCTGAACAAGAGCAGGATGATTATGAAATAGATCAGGATGGAGACGATGATTATGAAGATCAGGATGAGAGTATAAAAATTAATAGAGGAGACTACGACGAATCACAAATTGTAAAATTCGAGACTGGAGAAATTATAGCCGAAGAATCCGAAGCATCTTTTGAAAGGGTAATTCTTGTTTTATTACCCTAATTTCAATTATACTATTTTATATAACTATTTACATAACTATTAGTGTATTAAATTTATTCTGTAATATTTTATTATTCAGTTTCACCCTAGCAATAATTTTCATACTTTTATATTTTAGTACTGATAAATGAAAATTTTGTTATATTATTCAGTGTAGATGATTATTAAATATTGAAATCGTCATTTATTACAAATAATTAAACTTCTTTTATTATTTTTAGATGTATGTTGAAGACACATCACAAGATACAAATGATGCGACCGAGGTTGTAATGGGTATGGAAGAAACAACAGTTTATACCGAAGAAGTTACAGCTGATCATATTGAACCTGAAATAATTACTAGTGATATTATTGATGAATCTATGTTGCAGCCAGGAACTGTTGTTCATCTTCAACAAGAAGATGAAACAGGAAAAATTCAAGTGATACCAGTCATGTTGTCTTTGCCTGATTTATCAGATGCTGCATCTGAAGTTAGTTTAGCAACAGCTTCTATAATGTACAATAATTAAGAATATATACAATAATCGTGTGTTAAAATTTTTATATTATAAAAATTGAGACATGCATAAGATTTTTCAAGTTCTTATGCAAATGTGAACTCTATAAAAGATAACACAGTGTGTCAGATCGGTTTATTACAAGATACAGAAATTTTGGAAAATGAATTTCACCGTGTAGGTATATTTTACTTCTTTTTGCAAAATTATAAGTTTTATGTATCACATAAGGTATCTTAGTGAAACGTTTGTTTTTTCTTGTATTTAATAGTCATTTATTTATTAATCAATGAGGACTTTTTTAAAAATATTTGAGGATCATACATTGTACATTTACATAATCTAATTCTGTTTCTAAAATATCTTCTAAAAATGTTCCTCTGTAATCAACAATGTAAGTTTAAAGAATATAAATTTTATTATGCTATAAAGACTACTTGAAGCAAAAGAGTGTATAAAAGTGTAGAAGTATAATATAGAAAATTTTGAATAAGTAGTGCTAAGTTTTTAATAATTAAACATAATGTCACAATTTATTAATGACTGTTATTTGTAAAAAAAAAAAAAAAAAAAAAAAAAAAAAAAAAAAAAAAAAAAAAAAAAAAAAAAATCATATTTTTCAGTAAAATAAAGTTTTGCTAATTATTGATGAAATTTTGTTTGAAATTGTAATAAAAATTTTAATATAAATTGTTCTAATTATGAATTATGTATTTCTGAAATGGATTTATTTAAAATTTTAAATATGTAAATGGTTTTTAGTTATACAATATTTAAAATAATTGTTTGTGAATCTGTAGCGTTACAGCTACGAAGCATATTTATAATGCAAAAACAATAATGTAATTATATCAGAGTTTTAGTAAAAATTGTTTTCTTATTTGTAATTATTGGGGAAATTTATAATAAAATAATGCCCTTTACTTTGTACATTTTATGAACATGAAATTTACATTAAAAAATCGACGTGTCTTAAGTACAACTTCACAATAATGATTTTGTTGTTACAATAAAGATTTAAAATATTAAAAATTATTTAATCTCTAATAAATTAATTGTCATCAAATGTTTATACAACAGTGATAAATTATGTGAAAACTCAAATAGTATATGCGAATATACTTTTAAACATAGATAAAATATACCCGTCTTGTTGAACCCATTATGTATATATAAATATATATGTATATATTTATTTATATTTATATATAATAAACTCTCTTAAATCTGTATAATATTTTAATAGCATTTAAGCAAGAGGAACTCTTTTTATAATGCATGATTTTTATAATAAATTCTCGCATTTCCTCTTTGTGCAAGACAAATCGTCAAGTATAATTTCTTTAAAAAATCTTTCTCTAAATGGAATGCAAAATTATATCATATCGCTAATCATTGCATGCATACATACATACATGCATTGATGTACACACACACACACGCGCGTCCAATGATAATTAAAAATAATTTTTCAGTAAATTGTCATCCTCGTTTGAAAATGTATATAAAACTTTATAAAACGGAGTCAAATTAAAAAATTCTTTTAATTAATTATTATTGCGAGTTTACGTCTTGATAATACTTTGCAAGAATTTCCCATGCTTTTGGAGCCATAAATCCATGCGGTGGTAATTGTCCGGCTTTAGCCAAATCTATAAATAAAAAAATTAATATTTCACATTGTTCCTGAAATTATTGTAAAATTAAATATTAAAAATGTTATTAATTGAAAAATAATTGTTAGTAATGATATAATTATTCGAGAAACGAATAAGAATATCAACAAATCAACATGATAATTCGAACGTCAAAATCACCCAATTGCAGTAATAGTTAGTTTATTGAATAAAGTTCGAGAAGAAAAGGACATTACTTCTCATCTTTGTTCCCGATATGAAGTCGAAATCGTTTTTTCGACTGGGATTAAAAAAGGCCATCCTTTTGTTCGCGTTGTCGTAGGCTGCTACCCTGAATGGAATAATCTCTAAGCTTTGTAGTCCCCGAGCCATGGAAAGAACCTTTGCACCATGCGATGGATCGTAAAGGTTGCCATCGGGTGTGGAATATTTGTTTGGATGAAGAATCCCAGCCGGATCCCTGCCAACTATGTAAAAATTTGCACCTGCGTTCATTCTCGCCTTCGCGTGCCATTGCACCTGTGTACAAAGCAAGAATTTTTTCCACGAGTAATGCAATAACGTTTGCTTGGTTTATCTAGAAATACCACATTATCTATTTTTATGACGCATTTATGAAGCATAAAGTGCCTTTGTGTATGTGTCAAGAACGTTTGAAAAGCGACATAAAAAAAAAAATCTGAATTATTTCAATATTCCTTGATCACGTAGCGAATGCTAACGTTTTTAATTTTTCATCGACGTGCGATTTACCTCAATTGGTCCGGCGTACAACATTGGGCTAGGAAAAATAGCTAATAAAGTTGTGCTGGCGTCTAAAATGCCTTCGTCAAGCACAGCTTTGTGTTGACGAATACGAACTTCTAGGGGCACATCGTCATCTTTTGTCCAACCGCCCAATGGATGCAATAACAGCAATGGATTTTTGAAGCCCCTCTCTTCTAATAAGCGTCTTCTTGTATCCTATTGAAAAGTACTCGAAGTTAAATTATATATATATATATATCTTTTGTTATGCTATTGAAAAATACTCGAAGTTAAAATATATATATATATATATATATATATATATATATATAATGTATTAATGAATATTATCTTGTTATTCTATTAAAAAATATCTACACGTTGCTTGTTAAGTATAGTATCTACGTGTAGGATGAGAGAGCTTAAATAAATATATTCATTATTACATTTGGTTCCGAATTTTTACTCGAGTCGTTCAATGAAACGTCAACGGACAGTGAAGAGTGACGAGAGTCACCTGCATGAGAAGCGCGTGGCCATTGTGAATGGGATTCCTGAGCTGGAACGCGAATACCGCGTCGGCGTTCATCCTCCTACATTGCAATCTAATTTCATTTGGCGTGAGTCTGTACATGTCCAGGCCGTCGTTCCACTTGATGCGCTCGAAAACCTCGAGGTCCCCGCCGAGGAGCCACTCTCCCGACTCGTGGATCATGCGTACCGAAGGGTGGCCAAGATCGTTCGTGCCGAATTGCCAACAACAGCGCTCCTCCTTACGATGATAATAGAATTCCGGCCGTCTGAGGATCGCCAAGATTGTGCCGTTATGCTTGAGGCTAATCGCCATTAAGCCCTCTAGCCGATTTTTGTCTTTGTCGCTCACCGCCAGGACAATTGGCACCGACTGGCTTACTTCCTTCCCGTCGTGTATGAGGCACTTTAAGTGTTGAACCTGCGGGCGAGAATCGTTTACCTTTAGCGCCACATCCGGTTATTAATCGGACGTTTTTATTAATAATGCCTATCGATACCCGTTGCACATTTCAGCTTTTGCAGCATGATTTTATATCGGTGAAGCATTAATTTTAATATTGATTATTAGTGATACATTTATATAACAAAGCATTTTTATTTATAGTAGTAATGATAATTGCTAACACAAATTGGTATTAAATTTTCAATGCTTATGTAATTTGAATAAAAAATGGTCTACAAACTTTAAATAAAAACGTCCGAAGTTACAAGTTTTCTTAAAAAATATATGAGCACGCACGTATGCACACATACTTTGCCGTTATTATCTAATTATTACCTAATTATAATTTGCTTAAATTTTTTATTGAACATTTAAGGAAATTCGTGATAAATGACAGATTTTTCTAATCGCATTATGCGTTATGTTGTTAGTTTAAATTGAAAATGAATCGAATTGAAATAGATAGGCATTTGTGATAAAATCCATATTAGATAAAATAATTTGAAAATGAATTTCAATTGTCGATCAAGGTAATCTGGCAAGCAATACCTGCAGGTACTCTTCCTCGCGCATGAATCCGGTGAGAGGTGCGGCCCAACCTTCGGCGAGCACCTGCAGCCACTGGACGTCGATTTCGTTAAGATCGAGGCTCGCGAGACACCTTGCCTCGTCCTTGGCTTCTTGGAGCTTGGAGATAGAGAGAAAGAGCTCACGCACCGGTGCGCCAGGTTCCGAGATCTCGGGTATTATGCGCATACTCTGAAGGAACCTCACCACCGTCAAAGCAGACTCTCTTGGGGTACACTTTTCGGTGGTAACGATTAAGTCAGGATTGTTGGGCCTCTCGTACATTTGGTCAATCCCCGTGAAGCCTTTGATCGAGCCTTCGCGCGCCTTTTTGTACAAACCTATGATTTTTATACCTATTATTAGTATGATTTTAAAGCTATTTTCATTACGTACTTTCATTCCACTCGAAGCCCAGAGTTATAAAGCAGTGTTTTTAAAAATTTCTTTCATTAATTAGGCTTAATTTTCCGTGTACCATGTTTGATCTTTATTATACTTTATCGCTAGTTTCATCGAGCATTATTATTAAATTTCAAAGTACTCTTATCGCCTTTTCATAATTTCTGAATTAATAATGTTTCTACTTAATGATTTTATAATCATGCCATGGACGTGAATGAAAGTATCTTGTAACTTAATGGAAATTTCAGTTATTTTGAAATCAATTATAACAAAATTCCTCGAAAAAATATCAATAATTTCATTCGAATATATTTGCAGTGTCTTCTTACTAACAGTGATTAAATAAATGAATATATCCGAATTTTTCTCTTCGATTAATAAGCTATCTTTTTAAGAATGAACGAGAATTTTGGAAAATGTCAATATTTAAGTTGTTTAGAACGAGCTATTATTAATGTATAAAAATTTGCTTTATATACGTGCGTACAGTCGTATACAATATACAGTTATGATAAGGATCCATTTTAAAGCATTGACTTGTATTGTTAAAATAAAACGATAAATCTTATGCATTTTTCCAAAGCGATCGAAAATTAATGGATATATTAGATTTGGCCGAGATGAGCGTAGCTGCTCAGATTAAGAAAGCGCAGTGCGAATATACAACGAGCCAAGGTAGATAAAAGCCACCAACCTTTGACATCCCTGGCTTCACAGACGTTAAGTGGCGTATCAACGAAGACCTCGAAGAAGGGTAGGTTGAATTCGTTGTGTATCTGGCGCGCAATCATCCTGTCCTCCTCGAAAGGCGAGACGAAGCTACAGAGGCATATTTGGCCGCTGTCGGCAAAGAGCTTGGCAACCTCGGCGACCCTGCGTATGTTCTCTTTCCGGTCGACGGGACTGAAGCCGAGGTTACTGTTGAGGCCCTTACGTACGTTGTCGCCATCGAGGCCGTACGCCGCTATTCCCAGGTCCACGAGGATGGCCTCGACCTGGAAGGCGATCGAGGTCTTGCCGGCCCCGGAGAGCCCCGTCAGCCAGACAGTGCAGCCCCGGAAGCCCCGCACGGTGCCGAGGATACGGCCGCGCTTCATCCGCGACACGTGGTGCGCCTGGAAGGATACGTTCGTGCAGGCCTGCAACAGGTTACGAGTGATACCCTCGTTGCCAAGTGATATCTCCAGCCCAATATCCCCGCACGCTAAACCGCCGCCGTATCTGCCCCTGGGCATTAACCGTCTAATGTTATCCCACAACCTCCGCCTTTTTCGATCGGTCGGAACTGTATTTTTTCTTTCATTAGTTTTTTGCTTTGTCTTTACTTCGACACTTTAATCGAGCTTCTATTATTCACTAAACGCTTCGCTTGTTTAATTTTATAACTAATATTTCAATCATCGGCCTTTTTCTCGCATACTTCTAGTGTTACACTTGCAATCAAACAAATTAATAGACTTTCGTCCATTTAATTTTGTAAAATAGATACTTTTTCGTACTCATTCGAATAAGTTTTATCATACTATAGTTAACTGACAACTACTACGATATTGTTTATATTGAATAAGTACGAATGAGTTTAACTATAATATTTTAAAGGTTACTTATTTGTAAATTCAGTAATTAAATAATAATACAAAAATTAAGTATGGGTTCCATATTGCAGAATGTATTTTTATATAATACTTTTTTTCTCTTTCTTTTAACAATGATTTGTAATGTTTTAATCCTATAGTTAAAAAGAAAAAAAAACTGCCGTTGAGTAACAAATATATAAACGATTTTTTTCTTAATAGAGCCATTTATTACGAAATGGCACTAAGCTTCTCCACTTATTCCTAAATAAAAAGGTCAAAACCTCATGAATATATATTACATTTAAATATGTAATATATTTAAATTTTAATTTAAATTTAAATATATAATATACATAAATATATCTAAACATATATATATATATATATATATATATATATATATATATATATACATTCTATAAATATACTATTATAAAGCTATTACATTTTTGAAGTTATTTATCACCAACTAGCAGGTTTTTCTTTATATTTGACTATTTCATCGATACTATTATAAGATTAGAAGTTTTTTAACTAACATTTGTTTCTAAAAATAATAAGATTCACAAAAGCCAATTGGAAAAGCAATAAAATAATAACAAGTTTATTTGTCAATATAGTTAATAAAGTTAAATCTTCGATTTTATGAAAAGAGACTTTTGTATCTTAAATCTTAAATCGATAAGATTTTGGATAATTGAAATTAAACAATACAAATATGATTGTCACTATCGTGTATGTAATCGTACTATGATCTGACCGACATTAACGATATTTTCGTAATACTCATTCATTTATAATTGCAATTAATTTCTCTTAAACGTAGAATAGTATGGTGCACGTCATTATTACAGCCAGGTTGAGCATTCGTCATCTAATAGCTAAAAATATTTCCCATTCAATATTATCCAGTATTAAACACGGCACAATGTGGTAGTTATTTCAGCATGAATGTTAACATATCATTTATGTGCCAGTATGTACGTACGCGCAGATGTATGTAATTGGATACTTCCCTTGCATTTCTCGCACATTTCGAATATGGCTACTCTTGGTTACTCTATCACCACGTTCGTAATTGGGTTTTTCTTGCCAATACATTTTTAAGATAAAGATCGATTGATTTATATCGTTAAGTTATAATCGCTCAAATTATGACGCGTTATATCGAAAGGGTAAAAACATGCACGTACATTCCACAAACGTACTAACGCGATTGCATTCATGTTACGTGCAATGTTACGTGTTCCCCTAGCATCTCACTCGGTAAACATTATGTACAGTTGAATCATTGCATTCGTTATACTTGGTGTTATCATTTTTGTGGATTCTTTTTATTATTGTATTTAAAGCTATCCGTAGATAAAATGGTATTGGGTATGTATTAAGACTTAAAATTTGCCTGATGCATATAATTTTAGACGATTTTCTGCGGACGTACATGAAATCGTTAATGATAATATTCCGAAATATTCGCTTCGGTAATTCGACAAAATAAAAATTTTAAAATGTCTAATTCTCATTTTGTTAAGAAAATACTGTTCCATAAACTTGTTTATTTATTTCAGTAAATATCATAACACAAAGATTTTACTACATCATAAAAGACAACCTATATTTTCAATTCCTGACAAAATAAGTGTCGATTTTGTTACTTAATTTTATTACTATTATTCGCAAGAAATTGCATTTCATATAATTACTGAATGTCGATTTTCATATAGTGAAAATACTCGGCTTCGACTTTATATATATATATATATATATATATATATATATATATTAATAATATATATTTAATTATTTAAAAATTGTATTAATTATTTTATGGAGTAAATGGATTAATTTATAAGTTATTAAATAGTATTGATAATATCATAGTATTAATGAGTAAATATGTAAATTAATAATTTTTTAGAATTAATTAAAAAGTCATGTCTTTTGCTGCTTATTACCGATTAAATTATTGAAGATTGCATTTATCCAACATTTGACATGTCGATAAGTATTGAAAAAATAGGCCCAAGAAATGCAGCAATCGGTACTCGATAAATGAGCAAATCAAGAGATTTAGGTATTATGCCGGAAGAAACATCGTTTAAGAGATCGTAGTCATTTATTTCTAAAACTTCACTTTATGATACATTTGATAAATCAAAAATTGTATCAGATATATAAATGATAGTTGACGCACTATTACCATGGATAATAATGAGTGAATACTGAAGAAAAAAACAATTACTTTGAATTATTCCACTGTCAATATGTACTCTACGATGAATCCACAAGTTTTTCATTTATTATTTTATTATTTATTATTATGGCAAAATTAGAATAAATTAATTAACTTAAAAAGGACAAAGTAGCATTTAAATAGTTTATGCTCGTTTAATTAATATTTTTTTTTTTATTTAAAACCAACGGCATTTAATATTGTAAATAATGGTGTATGTTCAGATTGTCTTATTTTACTATTCACTTTTTTTTATTTGTTACATAAAATTAAATACGGCTTTGTATGACTCATATAAAAGAGTGGACAGATAATAAGAAAAACCTTGCTACAATTAAACTATCGTAAGGCTGAATCGTGTTAATTTATGCAGTGCTATTTTAGTTTATTTTATACAGAAGTGCAATAAATATTAAAATTTTATTGAAAAGTAGTATTAACGTAAAATTATATATCATACGTTGTAGATATGTACGAAAATAAAATTATATATTATACGTGTAGGTATATGTGAGCATAAAATTGACTATGCATAATAATTCCTTATCAAGCTTATTTCGATGAGCTTCAGGAATTTAAAACCTAAATTTGATCCGAGACTTTTACCGTTTGGAAAGTAGAACAATGTACTTTAAGTCCCATTTTCTTTTGATCATCGTACAAAGGAATAGAGATATTAAAACAATAATAAAAGTGATTTTTTGCTCTTATTCTTAGCACATATAAGATTAGTCGAACGCATAAAACTGTATTTATTATGTTTTTTTAGAAGAAAAGTTTTGATACGCCATTACGTGTAGTTAAATGTATGCTAAATTTATTTATGCACGAAATCGCATTAATTAAATTATGAATATTCTATGGCAAATAGTATTAAAGACATTTTGTTGTAAAAGCTGTTTTTAAAAATCTTCTTTATCTGTTATTATGTATGAGAATTTAGATGTATTAACGATTATCGATATATTTCAATAGAATATATTTAATTAAAATATATGGAATTCAAATGTTAAACATATTAAAAAACTTTCAATTATTTCCGTTCAAAGAACAAGAATATACTTGCATTTCTGTTTCTTTAAAATTTATTATAAATTTTCGCTTTCACTTGTCTGAATATGTAGCTTATTGCACATAATTATTTCAATACAGTAATTACGAATTACATGTTATATGAACGGCTTTCTGATATCCATTAATATATAAGATTAATATTTAATATAATGCATAATTTTTTTCTTCAACGAAGAAATGATTTAATTTTAATCTCTACTTTCTCTTTTTTATCTTGCCTCTTAGTTTTCTGTACCTTCGCTTATTAAACTAAATTATAATTATACATTAAAATATTATTCTCAGTATTAAAAAAAAAAAAAAAAATACTACAAATAAAAATTTTATAATAGTAATTTATTTAACAAATTTAGTAATTATAATCTTATTATAGATGACCAAATAAATATTTTACGCAACGATAATAAACTTAATTTATTGTATTGTAGCGTTTAAAATTTATAAAATTTATAATGATAATTGAAATTTTTAATTCTGCTTAAGCCTAACGTGTTTTATTTATCATATCAATGTATATTATTTGAATATTAGATGTAACAACGACAATAATCTTAATAATTAGAAACTTTTAAGTTTTGCGTGTAAATTATTTATTCTGTTTAAAGAATTCAATATATTTATTAGAGTTCATTATTTAGAATACAAATTTGACATATACATTCATTACTTATATATAAAAGTTAAAACAAACTCATAATTTTCTTATATGACTGTATTAAAATTATAATATTATAACAGCCATAACTAATATATTTCTATATATTATATAGATTTTTTTAAATAAGAATTGTTAAAATAATCATTAATTTTTAAATAATCATTAATATATATTTATGAATTTAACATCACATTATGTAATATGAATTTGTACTTATCTATATCAATTGCTAATTCATTATGCGATTTATATTATCGTAAAAGTACTAATATGATTTGTGGCTTATTGACAAATACAAGGCAATTCAAATTTATTCAAAGTTATTTATTTTATTATTATAATTTTCGGTTAAATAGTAAATTCGTTACTTTATTAACATAATGCATAAAATTTCGTAAAACTTAGGTAATAAAATATAAATGTATCTTTTCAATATTGGAGTAATGAAATGATAATTTTTAATGAAATTCACAAAATTAATTACCCATTGTAGCATGTATTTCACTTTACAATATATAATCATATTAAAAGATGTAATTGTCAATTAAGCATGTTAATAATAAAAACAAATGTTGTATTTGATATTCTTTAGAAGTAAAAGGTAGCAAATGGGTCGAGTTTACATTAAGCATTGGTGAAGATGGCAAGGCAATAGAAAGTAGAATCACATATATGTTGAAGAAATCAACTGAAAGCACGTGTGAAAGTATGTGAACGAAAAACATGTTATTCGGAGCTCTTGGAATCTTAAACTTAAATGGAGCGCACTTAGTGTGAATATGACTAAAAGGCGCGTATAAGTGTGTGCAAGCGTGCATGCTTTCAGTTTGTAATTTTCGTACCCCTTATGTGCAGCGATAAAATTAAAAATCGCTCGTTCGCGCTTTAAACGGTTACGACTATTATTGATTTAAATTTAATTTGCAATTGCACTTACGAAGAAAGCTATAGTGAATTGTTCTCATTTTTTACATAACAATATTAATAGCCCATCTCAATTTAATTTACAAAAATTATGACTTCTACTGTATTTCAATGTTTTAAATGTAGTTAAAAGCAATTTTTACACGAACATTGTAATATGTCGAAATGCTTTTCGCTCATTGTATCATTGTAAATTCGTTATAATTAAGTAAAAGATAGTTTTAGGAAAGAACGTTACCTCGTAAACAGGTGCAATTGATCGTAACAGTGTTCTTTCAAGTGCGGACTACACTTATGTTAAAAATTCATCAGTAGTCACTTTTGGCACAATTGCACGTTAGGTATCAGGTATGCGGGACGAACTGCTTTGGCAGCGTTAAAGCTTAGCCTTTCTTTTACCTCATCCCTTTAAGGATAAAATCGCTCGAATTTGATATGACTGGACTCGTTTATTATAAACAATCACCGCCGTATTTTTACAGACGAAGGATAGAGGATTGGCGCAGGTAGACAGGTGATAGAGCGTGCGAGAGCCGATTAATTAAAACCTCGTAGAGATATTATCCTCCGAGATCGGTGAAGATATTCTTTCGCGTTACCTTCCCTCACTCTCACTCTCATTCTCACTTTCATCTTCCCTCACTCTCACTCTCACTCTCACTTTCATTCTATCTTTCTCTCTCTCTCTCTCTCTCTCTCTCTCTCTCTCTCCTTCTCAATCGTACTTTAGCGAACACGTAGGGATAACGTTGTGACTGACCCGGATACGACTCCTTGGGGGAACTCGATGTTGGCGGCGCACACGTGAGATGCGAGAGTGCGTGAGCGGGTGGATACGACGGAAGGGCAGGGTAGCCGAGTGGGGTAGAATAAAGTGGGGTGGGAGGTATCGGGCGTCCCGGCGGGGTCGCGCGCACTGTCGGACGAATGAGTCTGACCGTCATGATTCTCTCGTGAGTTGCCTCCTTGGTGCCGTCGCTCGTACGTGGCCCTGGACAGCTTGGACTCTCTCCTCGGATTCTTCTTCGGCAGCAGCGATCACGGGTGCGTGAAGTTCGCTGAGCTCGCGATCCTCTACGTAGGCGGCTATCACAATTTTGTGAGTGTTGGCGCGTGCGTCACTCGCGGCTGCTGCTGCTCGCCTGTGGTCGGGGGCCGGATGGCGGCGACGGCGCCGACTGGCGCGCCCGGGTGCGGCAGCCGTTCGAAGCTTCAACTGTCAAATCGCCCCTCTTGTTAGGTACGAGCTTTTGGAACGGGGGCGAGGAGTAAAGTAAAGTGGGTTCGATGAATGGCCGGATTCTACGAATCCGTCACTCGTGCTTGATAACGTGTGGCGGTGCGCGCGGTTGCTACTATCGTTCTGTGGCCCTTGCATTGAGGCGGTGGTGGGGGGTTCTCCCCTCTCCATTTCATTACGTTATTATTATCATTATTGTTACACGGGCTTAGCGATCTGCGGTCCAGAGTTTTGTTTATTAAAGCTATTTATACTTGATGCCATTCGCATTTCTAGTTTTCATGTTGAGCAAGTCACTTGCATGCTTTTATGGATCCGGAGATGTTAAAAATGTTGTTAAAATTATACATTATTCATAATTGATACTTTCATTTATTTACTCGCATCAGTTTGATTACAAACATTGACATGAGTATTTTAAATATCGTACATTTTACTACAACATTTTTCTGCATTATTAAATATTAATTTATACAATATCTGAAAATCAATAACAATAATATTAGCAACGATAATGATAATAATATTTACATAATGCTCTCTTAGATTAATAATACTAATATCATTAAATAGAATGAATTTAATGATATTAATCGATAGAAAATGTATTGTGAATTATTCCAAAACCTGTATCTAAATTTGCGAATAATCGTATTAATTAATTTTAGTAATTTTAATAAGTAAATAATGTTTTTGTATTCTTTAATCCTATTTCAAACAGATACATGTATAATAATTTTAAAAAGATAACCCCATATTTTCATTAAGACCGAGTGTTAATTGAGTGTGAATAAAATCGATTTCTAAAACCAATTAATATCAAATAGCTTTCAAATTCGAATTAAATTCTACAATAAATCAATAAATCATTCTACAATATTGAAAAATAAAATGTGCAAGGTATAATTTTTTAACACTTATGCATTAAAGAAGTATTAAAAAGTTTATAAATTCGTTTTATAAAATATGCGATAAATCTATTAGAAGCAGAATTGTTACTTAAAAAAAAAAAAAAAAAAAAAATTTCGAATAACACTGTAAAACAATGATTCAGTAAATTAAACTGTATTCTATATAAAATTTATTTATGTGATATTTATGAATCGAGTGTGAGTTAACAAAGGTAATGGAATGTCCGCAAGTAATTCATTTATTCTTAGAAATTCTGATCTTTCTCGATATTAAAAACGAGAAAACGTAATTCTTGTTTGCGTTACATTATTAATTAGAAATAACTTTTCTGTGTGTGCGCGCGTGTGTGATAATAATTTATAATAATAATTGCATAAATAACAAAAAACAAACATCTACAGTTAAAATAATTAAAGTGAGTATTGTATCAAAATAAAAGAAATATACAATGTAAATAGAAGTTTATAAAATGATTATTAAAATTGGCTGTTTAAATTAAAAGAACACTAAAAATAATTGATAGTATTCATTAAATGTAATTTGAAACACATTTTAATTTTTTGGTTTCTTAAATTATTACAAATGATTACAAATTTTAACATTTTAATATATATTTTTAGTATTTTAATAATTAAGTATATTAATAAATCAATATATGTTTCGGTCCATATAAAATTTATTATTTCTATAAATCGATGGATTTTCGAATCTTAATCACTTGAGAATTAATAAAAATTCTTGATTATTATGCACTGATAAAGATTTATTAAAAGTATTTTATGCATTGTATAAATGCATTAAACTGCTTAATAAAGTATTGATAATATATTTAAATTTTTAGCGAGAGGCTTATTATTTATCAATTTACCCAAATAGTTAATTTTAATTTAGATTAATTTTAAATTAATGCACTGAATTTATCTATATATAAATCAACAGAAATCAGCCTTTGCACTAGTTTAAATATCATCAAATAAAATAAGCAAGAAAGTATTTCTGAAATATGGTTAAGGTAATCGCTTGTGTTTTGTAAGCACTTCCACAATTTCTGATTGCAATCATGATGTAAAAAATAAAAAATAATAAACCGGTTACTGTGACAAGTATTTGTGAAAACTTGCTCAGGCCTTCCTTTTTTTTCTCGCGTGGCCCATCGGTATAATCAACTTTGCTTCTGTGTTGCATCAGCACATCGTGAGATACTCGTGTATTTATTATTCTTCTCGACAATGAGTTATAACGGTAAAATTCAAATTGACAGAAAGCTGGGACGACTATTTTTCAAACAATATTTGTACGGTAAATTATAGGAATCTGTGAAAGCCAAGAGAAATGTATTTATTTTTATCCAGTAAATTGTGAAAGTTTTAAAGTCATATATGTTTTAAGTTGTTTTTTTAATTAGCCATGAATGTATTTTATGACAAAAGTTTTATAATTTTTAATTTAATTTTGAAATTGTTTAAAATTTTTCAATTAATTTAAATATGTTGAAAAATTTATATTAATCAAAAATTTGGTAGAGACTTTCAATAATGATATTCTAATTAAATATAAAAATTGTTCATATTATCTTTATAAAGAGAAAAAACTTTCAAAATGATAAGGAAAAAAATTTTAAGATAAGAATTATATAGAATTTAAATCTTAATGCTTGATTAAATCTTATAATTATAATATTTTACCTAAAATTGAAATCTGAATATATTAGATTTTAACATATGATAAACGGAGAATTTTTAAGCAGTAATAGCGTCATCCAGAAATTATAAAGCATCACGTTCTGGCTATGTTAACATAGATTAATCCTTCTTCTTTTCCATCTCTATTTTTATAGAAATAAGGAAAAAAGTCGAGAATACTAAATCATATTCTTACTTTATTCATTAATGAAAAGAATAAAGTAATCGATACAGTTTTATTATAATTATCAACATTTTAATATTAATATTTTATATATCTGCACTAAAAACACTCAGCGTATTACAAATATGAAATTGTTAACAATATTTTTTTAACAATAATGTATTTTAGTATTTTCTGTCAATATGCTGTATTTTCTAAATATGTATATTTTACAGAAGAAATTCATATAATCTAATTACATATGTAAATGTAAATATATTTAATAATATTTTCTTGATTATTGAAATTTGTTAGCGTTCTTTGAAATATCTGAAGATAAAATTACAATATAGAAATATCCTATTTTATCTATAATGTTATAACTTATTATCATGAGAATATGTGTGTATGAAGTTCTACTTGATTTTTGTCTTATTTATATATACATAATATATTTTGCCATTTATTTAAAAATCTTTTAGTAATTATATAAGAAAAATGAAAGAAATTTTTAATTTATGTATCCTTCGAATTTTTAAAGTTAATAGATGTCATAATTAATTATTTATCTGATCTATACCTAATTTATTAAAACAAATAATAATTGTTTTAATACAGTATTTTCATAAATTCCTTATCAGTCCTTAGGATTTACATACGTTCATGGTAAAGCATGCTGGCCTGAAGTTATCCAAATTCTTTGTAAGAAGTAATTAGACAAAATATAATATTTTATTCTAATAAATTGAAAATGCCAAAAAGCATTACAAATAATACATTTTTTAAACAAGCATTTTAACAATTTTTTATAAAAATTATTTATTATTTTTACATGAAAATATTTTTATACTAATATATTAGTATAATATTATAGTAAAATATTTTATTATAATAATTAAAATAAAAACATTTATGTACTTTCACTTTGAGATTCAATTAAGGCAATGCCAATTACACAGCCAAGGCTATGTTTTATCATAAAGAATAAGAATAAAAAACATTTGTGATTAGCAATGTAATTATTTGAATGGAAGCTTTCATCAACTCAGCAACGCTCTAATGTATTTTAAAAGTTTCACAGTTAGTAGTACCTGAAAAGTAACTAGTATTTAATAGTTTAGATTTTGGATTATTTAATCCTACAAACAAATGAGGAATTTGCGTTTTTAAGCAATTTATTACCAATTCACATGAAAAAATTGATACGCCTATTTGTTTAAATCACATTATCTAAAATGAAAAATAATGACTGCTTATTAAATGTTTTTAATAATTGCTCATGTATTTTTATTTTCTTTTTTCTCAAATTAAATAATATACTATAGATTTGTTATTTCTATATATCTGTTATAATTGATTATTTATTTTAATTAAGAGAGGGTTATTTTAAATTCATCTGATTTGAAACAAGTATCACTGTAACTTTAATCATCTATTTATGTATTAAATCAGAATTCAATTGAATTCAATTAATTTATATACATAATACTTTAAATATATAGCGTGTGTATATATATATACTCGACCGAAAGCGCGCGTGCAGTCACACGCATACAGATACAAAATATTTACGTTGTGTTACAAAATCTGCTGAACTTAATATTTTCAATTTATATTATTCAGAAAACTATGAATGAATGCATACGTGTGTGTGTGTGTGTGTGTGTGTGTGTGTGCACGCACGCGCTTGTGCGTATGTAATTTAGGTTGATACACATTTTTAAATTATTTTAAAAATATATCGTATAACGTATAAAAAATTTAATGGATTGAAAACCTAATGTAATTTGGAACTAATTAATTCAATAATTACATTCATATATTTAACATATCTTTAAAAACTTTAGGATAAATAATTGATTATTCTTTTTTATAATATATATTATTCCATTCAAATAAATATTTAAATAGAGAAATTTATTTAATAAATCAAATAAATAAATAAATCAAATATATTTAGAAAAAATAGAACGAAATATTTATCATTCAATGATTATGTGATTTATCAGTTTTATAAGCATTTCATATTGGCTGGAAAATTTTTATCTAAAAGTTATCTACTTAATTCTAAAAGTATTATCTACGGGTAATAAATTTATCAATATTAATAAATACTTTTATTATGTAAAATTTTATTAAATAATGTACAACAATATGTCCTCTGTGTTTTACAATATAGTGTTCATTTTTTAAAATCATCACATTTATTATTTTAATAATAAATATTTAAAATGAATTAAACTAACGATTAAAATAAAAATTTGACAGTACTTAAATTCTTATTATTTATTATTTATAACTATCATTCACTTTTTATCATTAAAATATTAGAATAATATAATTTATTTTACAATAGATTTTATTATAATTGTAAGAATACAGTTTTCAGTTGGTTACATTTCATATCTTTTAATGAGAAATGATATTTTCATTTTTTTTATTTATAGATATTTCTAAAAATTTATGGTCTAAAAACTTTTAAAAATACACACATCATCAATTATATATTGAATATTTATTATTCATCGAATTTTAGTCTTTATTTCATTCGGTTATTTTATCTTTGTTAATAAATATGAGCTTTGTCTATGGTAATAAATATACTGATTTCCAAAAATTAATTTATTAAACAGTTTTTACCAATCTTGGTTTTTATTGTTTTAATTATAATATTGAATCATCCCAACATATTTAATTATATTAACTAAAATGTTTATTTACAATACAATTATTTAATATATGCATTATTTTATAAATAAATTGTAAAATAAATGGTTGCATGTAGTGCATACGGAAAAATTATCATTAACTCATACTTTATTTCACAAATTATCGATTAATAAATCATAAAAACTGTATTAAACTCTAATTTTAATAAATAATAGTCTATGCTTATGCATTGGAATTATTTATATTGTTGAATCAATGTTATCTTGTATGAACAATTTTTTTTTAATAAAAATGATTATATTTTCTTATTAGTCATTAAATGTTTTACAAAATTAATTTTTTTTAAGTGCAGTAAAACTTGTATGTAAAATTTGTAATGTTTTTTTATTCAAATAAATAGAAGAAATAATAAGTAAAAAAAATATTTAATATGTTTATATTTTATTTATGAATAAAAATTGGATGTTATCATTTTAGTTTTATACTTAGTGTGATGGATTAATAATAAGTAAAATTTTTTATTGCATTTACAATATACTTAGTTTATTTCATAATTGTAATCATATCCAATTTTTTAAATTTTCTATGACACTATTCCTTCTGTAATATGGAAAATATAATACAGAATATAATTTAAATATATCCAGGATAGTAAAATACATAGTTAAGCTAATAATTTTAAATACAAGTTTGTAACCAGAAATAACTAGGTTAACCTAGAACTCTATGATACATATTATTAAATGTTCCATCTCATCACAAGAATTTAAAAATTTATATTAATTTGTAATGTTTTACAGAATTGTAACAATCAATATAAGTTTTTGTAATCAATTAAAAATAATTCCACGTAGAAGAAATGTTGAACTTATTAAAAGATATTGTGCTACTGTAAGAATAAATCGTGCTATAAGTATTTAATAAGTTTTAATGTATATTTAAATTTATATATTTATATGTCTAGAATAAAATTCTTTATCCAAAAACAATATTTTCCGGGATTCAACCCACAGGTTCTGTACATATAGGCAATTATTTCGGTGCAATTGAAAATTGGGTTAAACTACAAGAGAACGGAGAAAATGTTATTTGGAGCATTGTTGACATGCATGCTATTACCTTACAGCATGTATATTCTTATTTTACTTCCAATATTGATTTTATAAGTCGACACTCGTTTAATTTTAATTCATACCATAGAATTCTACAGAGCTTAAGGAAAATATTTTAAAACTCACTGCTGTCTTATTAGCTTGTGGAATTGATCCAAATAAAAGTATTTTATTTCAACAATCAAGCGTTTCGATGCATGCTGAATTGAGCTGGATTTTGGCATGTCTTACAACAATGCCAAGACTTGCTCATCAACCTCAGTATAAAGAAAAAAGTCAAACACTGAAGGATGTGCCTCTAGGATTATATATTTATCCTATTTTACAAACAGCTGATATTTTATTATATAAGTATATACTTAAATTGTATATTATTGTTAAATATAAAAAGTTGTATTTTATATTTAAAAAAGAAACTTTTTTTTAATTGTAAATGATAGTTTGATAATTTATGATAATTATGCTTTATAATTTTAAGCATAGAAATAATGAGTAATTCATTAATTATTTTCAATTTATTTAACTGTTTCAATTATCATAAGTAATATTGAATTGGAATTTGTTTTTAAGCAATATTTAAATTTGAATAGATATTTTAAATTACACGTAAAAATATACCTACGTGATAGAATATTTTATTTGCTTTTTCATTATTAGTATTATATTTGATTAAATAACTCGATTTTTCAACCTTTGGTAATATTGAAATGGTATTCAGGAATTTAAGAAGCAGTATCTTATTAATTATTTATAATTATTAAATATTTAGAGCTACACACGTGCCAGTAGGCGAGGATCAAGTGCAGCATATACAATTAGCAGAACATTTGGCTCAAAAATTTAATACAACTTATGGAGAAACTTTTCCTATGCCAATTGCAGTAATAAACAGTTAGTTTTTAAATATTACATAAATTATTTTATATATTAATTTATAAATTTTATATGAATTAGTAAAAAAAAAATGTTCTCGTGTAAATATTCACAATTACTCTAAGTTTTATTACTTTATAGAAGATTTTGGGAGAATTAAATCATTGAGAGATCCTTTACAAAAAATGTCTAAGTCTGAATCTGATACTAAAAGTCGATTAAACTTAACTGATGAGCCTGCTGTTTTACTGAATAAAATAAAAAAGGCTGTGACAGATTTTACTTCGGTAGTTTCTTATGATCCTGAAAATCGACCAGGTGTATCCAATTTAGTGAGTATACATTCTATGATAACTGGTATGTCTCCAGAAGAAATTTGTAAAGAAGTTAAACACTTAAATACAGGACAGTAAGTTAAAAATTTAATTTATTTTGTAAAATGTTTTTGAGGGACAGACTAGCATAAATAACTTACCTATATTCTTTTAGATATAAATTATTTTTAGCAGATATTTTAATTGATAAATTAAATCCTATAAGAGAAAAGATACAATTATATATGAATCAACCAAAGTATTTGCAGAAAGTTTTACACGAAGGTACGCAAAAGGCAAAAGATATAGCTTTTAAAAATTGGTTAGAAGTTAAGGATAAAGTTGGATATGGAACTCCTATATTTTCAAACAATCAACAATTACATCAATTACAACAAATTTCTAATTAATATTTTTTGTATAATACAATTATTTTCTTTATTTTAATAAAATTCACATAATGTATAAAGATCAATGTTTTTAAATATTAAAGTTAGTATAAAATTTTCACCTCATGTCAATAATTATTTTTCCTCTCAAGTGACCTTCTCTCATTTTATTATATGCTGTTGGCAGTTCGTTAAAATGAAATACTTCTTGAATAACTGGAGTTATCTATAAAAATGTTCAATACATGTATTATATTGTTATTTATAATATAAGCAAAATCATTTTATATAATAAATGTATTTTATTTCACCTGTTTATTTTCAATCAAATTTTGGATTACATTTATTCCAGTTGGAGAAGGAATAAAATATCCCCATTTAACAAAATTTATGTCAGTACTAGTAGGTATGTTATCTTGTAAAAGGTCAGCAATACTCTTTACAGTACCAAATACTAATCCATGTTTATCATAATTTTTTAAAAGTGGTGAATTTAAAGTTATGTAAGTATAATGAGGATAGCCATTTAATTTTACAGCATTAGATCCTTGATTGCAGCAGTCCAATATTATATCATATCTATTAACATGAAAATGACATGAATATTATTTATAGACTTGCATGAATACCATAATAACTTACGGCCCTGCTGCTATTATTTTTTCATTAGCATTAAATTCTGTGTAATCTATAGCAATATTAGCACCTAATTTTTCCAACAAAGTAATTGCATCATTGCTACAAGTTGCAACAACCTATTATTATAAATTTTACTGAACATTATAATACTTAGGAAGAAGTTGGAATTATGTGAATAAAACAATTTACATCTATTTTCCATGCTTTTAAAAGTTGTATAGCTAAAGTTCCTACGCCTCCTGATCCACCAAGGACTAATACTGGCTTCTGTTTATAATTTGAGCACAATGATTTATAAGCTAACCCACCTGTATACCATAGGCTTGACCATGCTGTTAAACCAGCATATAAAATAGCAGCTGCTTCAATATAAGATAAGTTTTTAGGACGTAGACTTACCTACAAAGTATATCCGATATATATTTTTCTTGTATGAAATATCGAATCTTAATTAATAGAAAATATCTATTAATAATAATATATTACCAAAGAACTATCAACCAAAGCGTATTCTGCATGACATCCTTGTTCTTGTATTGGTATAACACCCCATACTTCATCTCCTACTTGAAGCTTATCTACTCCATGTCCTTTAGATACAATAGTTCCAGAAAAATCTCTACCCAGTATCAATGGGAATTCAATGTCACTATGTGGCCTAATATTGAAGCTATTAACTTTACGCATACAGTTAAACAATTGTGCCCCATACCCATCTATAATATTTAGTTTTTCTCATATATATATATATATATATATAAGTATATGAACGTATAATGAATAAATTAGTGTAAATAAAAATAGTTAACTTACTTGTCATAGCAATATCAATTTGATTGATACTAGAGGCATCAACTTTAATTAACACTTCTGAAGGTTTGCTCAGTATTGGAATTCTTACTTTTGACAAATGTGGATTATTTTTATCTGTATAACAATGTATTTGCCATGCATTCATTTTGCCATCTGTATTATTTTTAGGTTTTACAGACGCTTGTGAAAAACATCGAGGTTGAGAAAACGGATTAATTAACATTGAACTTAATTTCTTTGGTATTTTTATCATTTTTTTTTTTTTTTTTGTAACGTATTTAAAGGTGAAATTTTAGGTTAAAAAATGTGTTATTTATTTTAAACAATAACTTTACGAAAGTAACAGCAATTAATAAAACATATACAAAAGAAATATATTATATATTATTTTCATTTGAATATTTTAAATAAATTTAATAAATTATTTATTTTCAACATTTTGTATGCCACTACAATGTTATCCATTCGAACATTCGTTTAGAACATATATGTATTGACTTCGAATCTTAGACTTTGTTTGAATTTTATACACCGCAAATAAATTAAAAATTGATTAGTATCATAAAACATTGAAAATTCTTAATTAAGTCAAATATTTATTTTATAATTATTGGCAAAGTTTACTATTAGATAGATATATCTGCTCCGCAGCATATCATGAGTCTAGTAAATAATGATTAATTTATAAGATTGAAGGGGGGTGCGGTAGTCACTCAAACTCGACATTATATATATATATATATATATATATATGCACACGCGTGCGTGGATGCATGCACAGTATAGGCAGTTAAACTATTTTTCTCCCTCTTTCTCCCTCTTTCTCACTCTTTTTCCGCATGTATATATTTACGCATGTGTTCATGGGTGTAACAGCGGGCGCATGTCGCGTGCGGGAGTTGTGTGATTATACGAGAATGAGTCAAAAACAATTGCTGTAGTCACATATGGGCGATCAAATTTTGAACGAATCAGAAAAAAGAAAAAGTAGGATTATCTTTTAAATTGTGATGATAAATTATAAAATGTTTGTCTTTCTTAGAAACCATTCAAACGCTATTAAGATAATTTTTATGTTTATAATAATTTGACGTATTCATAATAAAAAATTTGGTTGTAGGGGTTAAAGTACATTAAATTTTATTCATTCATTAAAATTTTGTAGTTATAGAATTTATTATATTATACCATTATTTCATATATCTAATCAACTAATTTTTAATTTCATAAGTTTATATTATTACTTTATTTGATTTTGAATATATTTCAAGTTTATACATTACACACTGTTTTATTTTATAATTGTTTAAATGATTTAATGCGATTATATTAAAATTTAATAATCATAAAATATATTATTATACATATATAATAAGAATAATACAAATATAATAATAATACTTATGTAAACACGGAGTATGTTATAACACGAAATTTATTAGAAATTAAATAATATTACAGTATTGTTGATAATAAACGTTTGTGCATTATTCATATTATTTATTAAAATTAAGGAAAGACTTTTATTATGTTTTAAGAATAACATTATGTATATGATATTTTAAGAATTTACTATTTGTAATATTCAATGAACTTTGTATTTATGATTACTCCTTATATTAATTATAGAAATTATATTTTTATTGTACAAATGATATTTGTACATGCTTTAAAATATTTTAGTTTTCTTTTAATTTGAAGACTTAACCATTTTTTTTTAGTTTATAATTATGATGGATATATATATATATACATTTTTCAATACATAGTTATTTACATAAATTGAAATCATTAATTAATTTATTGCACATGTATTGTTTAAGATTCAAATAAAAACAATCATTTTTCATTAATTTGTGGTAAATATAGCATTAGTTTTGGATAAAAATACACAATTAACACATTTAAAAAAAAATTATTTATTTTTAAATTACAGTTTTCAAAATAAATTTTGTTTTAATTTTAAGCAAATACAATCTGATGATTAATATTGACATTTTCCTAACGATGGAGTAATCCATAAAATAGTATTTGCACACGCGTGCGCGTACATGTTAGAAAACAGTAATTTTTAAATTTTTCATAGATTGTCAATTTTATTTTAACATATTAATTTATACATCAATAATAAATTAAAAACTAATTAATAGAATTTTGTTTCAAATAGAAAATGACAGTCAGTTTTTTTTATTAGAGATTAACAGTTTGGAAAAAAGGATTAAAAATTGAAATGACATAATTAAAAACTATTCAATAATGTGTGTGTAAAGGGACTACAAATAGTAACTAATAGAGTAAACTTTATTTGTTTATGTTTAAACTTTAAATATTTAATATTTAGGAAAAGAGTGTCATATTAGAAAATAATTATCAGGAATATTTAACAATTATTTTTTAATTAAAATCATAAATTACTTAAATATACTTTTTAGAAACTAATATAGTTTTGTTTTACTTTATTACTGTTTTTGTTTTACTTATTACTATATTTTGTTTTTTTTGTTTTACTTATTTACTTATTACTATATTTTGTTTTACTTATTACTATATTTTGTTTTACTTATTACTATATTTTGTTTTACTTTACTACAAATAACCAAAAAGTACTGTTTGGTTGTTTATTCTCCAATATGTACATACATGTGAATTTATTTATCTTTAATAAATGATTTTGAAACTGCAATCAATAATTAAAGCGCACACTATTATCTGTTTAAGATGGTAAATACTTCATAAAATTTCGTTCATTCTTTTTGTTTAAATATTTGCTATTCAGTTTAAAAGATATGGAATATGATGCAGTATATCGAAAATATAATTTTAGTTATGATAAATACAAAAATTAAAATAACACGTGACAACAAATTAAAATAGCAATTATTTTATATTAACTAATAATTTCTGTATAAATGTCAAAATAAGATTGTCAAATTTATTTAACGTGGAATAATTGATTAGTTTTTAGTCATTTCATTATTTGTCAAAATTGAATTAAATAAAGAAATACTCTATATAGTTAATGGTATGGGATTAAAAATTTTCCAGCTACACCTAATAATCAATAAATAAATGTTGATGCTTATTTAAAAACATTAACTAATTAATTCGTACATTAACTAATTCATTTCAAAACATTAACTAATAATTTGCATGCAATATCAAGTGTCAAATCTATATTGTCGATTGAGTTGTTGCATAGAGTTACGTCAATTGTACTTCAAACATGATAATACATTCGGCGCAGGATCACCATTAATTTTCAAAAACTATTAATAATATATCTGGATAAAGAGCGTATTAGGAGCGTATTAAGAGAATTGTGTATTAGACTTATAAATGTACTTATAATGTACAGGAGGTGGAGGGAAATGCTGTCCCAAAACTTTCGGGAATGTATTACTGTGATCCTATCAATTCTTAACCGTCGCGGCGACCGATTTCGGTTTCCGTGCACGCGCGCGCACGATTCCGAGACGCGGTTTGGGAAAGCCTCCCCTCACAACCCCCGCACACATCGCACACTACGTAATTTGGCCTCTTAAGCACTTCTCCAGCTTCGCTGCGCCTTCGTTCATTATTGAATTTCGCGTCGATTGCGCGCGAATTGACGGTAGCTCGCTGCTCCACACCTTTGCCCTTTTCTGCTTAGTGCGCGCTGATGTGGCTTTCTCAACCCTCCCCATCCCCGTAATCACTCTCTCTCTCTCTCTCTCTCTCTCTCTCTCTCTCTCTCTCTCTCTCTCACTCATGAAAAGGGATATTGTCTTTCCTCCGATTATGTAATGATGGCTGCTTTTCTTTTCAAACAGCATTCCGAGCGTGGCCATTGCAAAGGCCTACAACTCCACGTCCCGCTCGATCCTTTGATCGCTATTCGGAATTTAGTGATTCAAAAGGTAACCAAGTGTCGGATTTACTTTTTACCGATGATAAAGCATGGTTTTGTGAATGAGAAGATTATCGCGATAGGCAAGCACATATTCTATCATGTACTATTTATTTAAAAGCGGATGAAATTCAATTGTTATTCGATTGGTGATAACAGTAGTTTTAGATAACGAGCCGATGAATTTATGTACTTGGATTGCAAGGTTAAAGAAGTCAGTTATTTCAAGATTTATGGACGTATAAATAATGTATTTTTGGTCAAATATTTATTTTTAACGTATAATTTAAAAATTTCAATTGAAACTCTTCTTATTGGCTGTTGAAAATTTTTTAGAAACTGTATTGGCATTGTTTTATGAATATTCCTTATAAAGTGTGAGATACTTATTTAATGTTTCACAACAATAAATTATTAACATGTTTTTTAAACATTTCTTCTACGATATCATTCGAGTTTTATCAATTTTTATTTTGTAACTTTTATTACATTTTCTTCATGCATTCTTCAATGTAACATCGATAGTATTATACAATAATATCAAAATTGCAGGATTTGAGTTGTAGCACCGCCGCCTTAGCCGTGGAATCCAGTTTGACCTACTTAGTTCAAAAGTTGTAAAAGAGCTTGCATTTTACATGCGTTACAATAATGAGTTTCAAACAAAAAGTTCCTTGTTAATTTTTCATTTGAATAAAAATAATTATCTCAGCTATAATCGTATGCGAACGAAGAAAGCCATATAATACAAATTACATTAAAATATTATAGGTGTCATCGAAATAAGAAGGATGAAGTATACTGTAATAAAAGATTATTGCATGTATTTAGTCGGATTTACTAGAGTATCGTCCATCCGCATTTATGCATTGTCTAGAAAATTTTTCTTATCTTTTAAACTTACATTTGCTAGATCATAGTGGTAGTTGGAATTAAACGAGGTGTATGTAGGATTTATTCATAATGACAAAATCGAGCAGAACCGGGTAAAAAATACTGGATCTACTTTGCTTTAAATTGAATACCTGATCTGAAATTTTATTCTATTGATTGCCAGATTGACCAAACCGTAAATAAAAATAAACGGGAACATTATAAATGCTAGAGTGGTGTAATGTATGGACGCTTACTTCTCCGAAGCCATTTTACAATCTCGAAGCTTTGGGCATCTCGACCGAAAGAGGCCCAAAGTGTTATTACTGTCCGAGTGGCGATGGTGAACTCGATGCAAGGGTTGGGCGCGATACTTACCTCGACGAAGGGTTATCAGATGGCGCTAATTGCCATTCAGATGCTGGGAGGGGATCTAAGGATAACAGGGTGAGCGTGAAGCGCTTTCAAGGAAGTTGAGTCGCGTGTACGAATTATGCGC